AGCATTATGAGGAGATTGAGCTCGATGGCCTTCAGTTTAAGTTTGATCAGCTGCAGGCGCCCTCTGGCTTCACCAAGCTGATCTTCAACACGTGGCGAGGCCCGAGGATCATCAAGTCTCAGCGCCATCACGGAGCGCGTCTTGGTCTCGCGCGTCGGGGAGTCCCAGCGGGCGATGGAATGGCAGACGTAGCCATAAAAGTTTGCGCTCGAGGCCTGCGACAGGCACGTCTGCCTGTGCCCCCTGGCACCCTTCTCCAGCTACATCGATGACACAGCGATTGGTGTCCAGCACGCGGATGCAGATGAGGTGGCGGGCATGGCGGCTCAAGCAGGCAATGCGTTTCGCCAGGTTGCTCAGAATTCGGGTTCCCGTATCAATGAGAAGGTTGCCATCGTCGCTTCGAGCCCCGCCATTGGACGCGCGGTTGCCAGCAAGCTGCAAGTTTCTGAGGTGTCCACAGCCATGCGTGCTATATCGTATATTTGAGTGGACTGTTCTGCAGGGCGAGCTCATCGCGCGCTTGGTGTTCGTGCTGAGCAGCGTAGCAGGCTGACCAAGCACAAGCTGCGCATGCGGAAGCAAGCCAGGTTCAAGCGTGCGATGCCAGTCCAGAAAGATCTTCGGCTCGGTCGAATCTACCGCACTGGAGCTCGACCTGTATGTACGCATGGTGTTGAATTGAATGGATTCACTGATGCTGAGTCGAATGATCTACGTCGCGCGTATGGTCGTCAGGTCAAGCCGCATCATGGAGGGATTTCTGCGACCGCCAAGCTCGCCGTGGATGGCGACCCCGCCGTCCGGCAAGCTGTTGCGCCAGTTATACAGCGTTGCCGTCTGTTGTGGGGGGGGGGCCTACGACACGATCTGATGGAGCCCTTGTATCCAAGGCCGATCTGCTACTCTGGGAGCCTGGAGTCGCCTACATTGGCAGGCCTGTCAGATGGGACAAACCTCGCGGGCCTTTGGAGCGCGTATACCTTGAGCGGATCAACTGGGCCGCAGTCAGTGGCGCACTGCGGCGCGACCACCTCCATCGAGAGGGCCGCGCGGATCAGCCCAGCCCCGCGGTGCTCGAGGGCCTGCTGGCACAAGCTACGCAGAGGATGCTTAAGTTCAAGCTTGCAGACAAGCGGGGGGCTGCCAGCTGGAGCACACGCCACGCGCGTTTTCATTCAGGGCATTGCGAGAGAACGCTCTAAGAAGCACACCAACTACCAGAGGTTCCTCGTCCGCGCGCGCGCGCCAAGGGTTGCGGGCGAGGGGCCGCGCCCAGGAGAGAAGCCATGACGCGGCTGGCCGCTGCAGTTGCGGGCAGCTCGGCACAGTTCACCACCGCTTGCATTCTGGCGCTCGGGCCGATGAGAGAGCTGCCCGGGTTGAAAGCGAAGCGAGCGCCGAGTTTATCCAGGAGGGCTTGGACAACTATGGCGACCTGCGCTGCACCGCGGGGGCTTTCGCCTACGAGGAGGAGCTGCCGCCGCCGCTGGACGACGGGCCCCAGGTGCATGTGCTCGACAGCGAAGGCAACGTGGGAGCAGGGACGGTCGAATTCATGTGCATTAATTATGATAGTTGGCAGTGTTCGTGCGATTGAGTTTGCTGTTGACGGACCATGCAGTGCTCCTCCTCTCGATGCCGCGCGTCGCGTTGTTTGAGCCGTCGTGTTGCTCGATCCCCAGGGTATCAACCCGCTTCGAGTCACGTTTGGAGCTGCGCCTGGGTCGCTGCCGCAGCGGTCAGCGATGGCCGAGCACCTGGCATGGGCATTCGTGGGCCATGTGGCTGACCGCCCCGCTGACGTATATGCAGATTACATGGCGGCTGTGCTTAAGGCTGCTGCCAAAAGTCCGTCCGGTCAGCTCCGAGCGAGCGCCCACTGCATTTGTACGAAGTCGTTCGCCCAACAGTTGCCAGGGCACAACCATGTTCGATCTATTAGACACGGCAAGGCCCATCGGACTGCTGACCAGTACGCACAGCTTTCAGATGAGGAGACGCGAATGACAGATGCCAACATGTCTGCAGACGCCCATGCCAAGCGGGGAGCTCCGCAGCACGAGGTGTTGCTGCATGAGCTGGATTTTCAGATTGAAGATGGATTGCGCGTCGCTAACAACTTCGTCAAGCTGGCTGTCGCCACCCTGCCGCTGTTCGAGAGAGAGGAACGTTGGGCCAGAGTGAGACCGAGTGAGCGCCGTGTGCATGTACAGCGTGTTTCGTGGCACGAGTGGCACAGCGCGGTGTTCGGTGAGCAGTGCTGCAAGTGCTGGCGCATTGCGCGTGACGGTCACACTAAGCCGCTCACAGGTTGTATGTGGCATGCCTGGGCACCTCCGGGTTTTTGTCAGGAACCTGACAGGGCACACCCTGCTTGCTGCCAATCAAGGCGGCAAGGCCCCAGCGGAGCCCAACTGGTCTAATCCTGCGTATGTGTAGCAAGTGTGGCGCTTGGGCTCATCAGTCCAGGCGTAAAAATTTGCGACGTGAGTGTGAGCCCCCCACCCGAAAGAGAACTCGAAGTTCTCATTAACTTACGCAAGGGAGTGGGCCCACACGAGAGGCTTGCTCGCCAAGTTGACGCTGCCCTCCCAATTCGCAATCTTCTGAGCCTTGCGGTTGGGAGGCCCGCGATTGAGACCACCCGCGTTTTGATCCCCAAGTCCGAGGCGCTGTGATCCGTGATCGTCCGAGCCCCGCGCGGTTGCACTCGCCGAGAGCGTTCCTGAGGTGCCGCCGTCGCAGGTGACCCGCATGGCTGCCATCGCCGGGCGAATTCGCCAGGAGGGAACTGCTTACGTGTAGTCACCTCCTCTGGCTGGCCAAGGAGCCGAACGTTGTGCTCTGGAAGGCGCGCGCCTGGGCGGTCCTGCTGCAGGCGTCACTTTGGCAGAAGCCGCCATCCTCTTTAGAGTTTCAGCATTCAGCATTCACCTCCCTCCTCCCCCCACCTCTTCCTCCCTCCTCTTTCCTTCTTCCGCATCCCTCCTCCCTCCTCCTCCTCCCCTTTCTTCATCCCTCCCCCCTTCATCCTCCCTGATTGTTCCTCATCTCTCTTCCCTCCCCCCTTCCCTTCTCCCCTCCCCCCCTTTTCGTGCCTCCTCCCTCCTCCTTCCCCTCTCCGTCCATGGAAGACTCCCCCCCCTCCCCCGTAGAATCGTAGCTTTGGTCAGCAAGTCCACAGCTCCGTGGATAGCATGATGATTCACGTGCGGTGCCTCGCGGATCAAATTTCTCTTGGGTCCGGCATTTAAATTTAATCGCTTCGCTCATTCCGCCGGCCCATATTGTCGCACCGTTGTGGGCTAGCCGAGTTTTGGGGCCTCTTGGGGGCCGTTTTGGGGCCTCTTGGGGCCTCTTTTGAGCCTCTTGGGCGCCTCTTGGGGCGTCTTGGTGGGGGCCTCTTGGGGGCCTCTTGGGGCCTTTTTGGGGCCTCCTGGGCGCCTTCTGGGGCGGAGGGCTCGATTTTTCAGTTCTCGGTTCCCCTCTTGAGCCCCTCTTGGGCCCGTCTTGGGGCCTCTTGGTCCGTCTTGGGCGGCACTTGGGCCGTCTTGGGGGCCCTCCTGGGCCGTTCCGGGGCCGTCTTGGGAGCCTCGTGGGCCGTCTTGGAGCGGTCTTGGGGGCCTCTTGGGCCGTCTTGGAGCGTCCGGAAGCCGAAAAAGCCAGAACGCAAAAAACATAGAAAAAAACAATGAAAATCAACGATTTTGGCCTCTTGGGGCCCTCTTCGGAGGCCTCTTGGAAGGCCCTTGGGGCGTCTTGGAGGCCTCTTGGGCTGTCTTGGGGCCCTGTTGGGCGTCTTCGGGCGATCTTTGGCCGTCTCGGGGCCCTCTTGGACCGTCTTGGAGGCTTCTTGGGGACCTCTTGGCCCGTCCTGGGGCCCTGTAACAGCACTCCGGCATCTCTGACCCGACCTTGCCGGGACCTTGCCGGGGTACTTTTCGTCCGGGGACCCCCAGGGGCCGCCCCGCGCGCGCGAACTAGCAATACTGTTAACCAGGTACCGGAGATCTTAGCACGCCCTGGCCCGTTGGGCCGGCGAATTGTTTATATATATATATATATATATATATATATATATATATATATATATATATATATTCCTGGGGAAAATGGATCTTTGGGTTTTTTTCACCAATGGGAAATTGGATCCGCGCACGACACATATAGGATCCACGTCACTGTCGCGCACCCGAATAGAGGAATCCAATTGGATCCATCGGTGTTTTCATATGTTCAGTCCAAGAGTAAAACAAAAGAAACTGTCGGCCTGGGGATGTATCGCACAAGCTAGTGTGCTCGGTGGCGATGAGCACCTGGCCGAAACCTTCGCGGCTGGGACAGCGGTCGGTCTCCGTTCCGCGTTTCCATTTTCGGCCTACCAGGCCACCAACTTAGAGCAAGCCATCGCGATGGCCTCCACGCGGGGCCAAGAGGTGGACCTCTGCGAGCCGTGCGGGGGGCGAAGCCCGCATCCCGCAAATTGCCATGCGCCGCCATTTCAAGACAGGCGAGAATCTCAACCTGGTGACCGGTACCGACCTGGGCGACCAACAAGAACAGCAACGCTTTCGCAGATACCTTAGGTCCAACAACGTCCTGGCAGTGGTATGGCACCATCATGCCGCAGCATTGGACCTCCAAGTGGTCTCAGACCTCCAAGTGGTCTCAACGATCGTATCAGTCATGAGACACGGAGGGCATACTATGATCATCGTTCCGCCGGTTTTGGCCCACCACGTTTCGGCGCGGCACGTTGGCCCCATGTCCGCATTTCAAAGCGTCAACGCCCCGAGTTCTTCACAGCTTCCCGCCACGCGGAGCGGAGCGGCACGCTATCAACTCGCAGGGCATAGCGCGTCGCCGGGGTCGCCGCGTGACACGCGAAGCAAAAGTTCCCAACCGTACCATGTCTTGTCCACTTGCATATTCTGCACATCCCTGGTATCCCTCCTCCGTCCACTCCCCTATCGGCATGCACTCCCCCCGGAGCCCAGGCGTACTTGCTGCAGCGCCTGCGCCACCCGTACATCGTGCAGTGCGACGAGGCGCCTCGGGAGCGCACGCCGCGGAGTTGGTTGTTCGATGCCCCTCCCATCCCCCCTCCCTCCAGCCTCCTTCCTCCAGCCTCCCCCCCTCCATCCGCCCATCCCCCTCCTCCATCCTCCCTCCTCCGTATGGCGCGCCGAGCTTGGTGTTGTTCGCCCGCTCCCGAAACCATTGTGCATGTTGGTTGCAGAAGATAAGTACTGCACTGCCTGCGGGGCTGGCGCTGCACGATACGCACTTGATCGATGTGTTGTCCGTCGGATTGGCTACGTTGGAAATCATGCGGCGCTGCTGTAAGGGGCGGGAGAGCACAGATGAGGCACGGCCATTGTTTCGATTCGCACGCGCAGGCCGCTCCTACTGTATATTTGTTTTGCCCGCTAGACGAGTCGCGCTGCGCACTGGAGTAGATTATCGCACGTGCGCGGTCAAGATCTGGCATTCCAGCTGTGCGTATGAGGCGTCGGATGGAGTGCGCGATGCTGTTGTGAGCGCGGCGTTCGCCCTGGCGCGCAAACAGCGACGCAAAGCATGCATCCACCTGGCGGCGACCACTGCACAAAGGGCGGGGGGTCGAGACCTCCGACCGCATCTCTCAAATGAAAAAAAAGCTCGACCACTAGGCTGTCTCTGCAAGCACCGGCCGCGAAAGAGGCCTCCCGAGGCCCGAGCTCGAAGAAGAAAAGACGGCGTGCATGTAAATTGTTGGAGTTCCGCGAGGATTTCTTGGATCGGCGCGGGACCCCCTCCCTGGCGCGCGGGGGCGGCGCCAAGGGGGCGGCGCCGCCAGGGAGGCCCTGGCGCCAGAAAACTGCACGGAGCTCCGCCGAAAGGTTGTGCTTATGTTTTTGTTTCTCTTCTCTTGGCATCGCTCGGACGTGTGCATTTTTTCTCGGCGAGGACCCTGGAGGAGCACCCTGGACCATCGAGCAAACAGAAACGCGCACGAAACCGACAAATGCACAGGGAGTGGACGTCCGAGCGATGGCAAGGTCCCGAGTCTGCCAGGACGTTGGTCCGGGCACCGTGCGCCGCCGCACGCGGCCCCCGGCGTTCCGCGTGCTGCACGGTCGGGCAACGGGCGGCGCTGATGATGATGATGATGATGATGATGATGATGATGGATGCACCTTTCTTGCTGAAGCTCCGGGGCTTCGGGACACGGGTATGTTTGGCCCCCTGGGACTCTGCAAACCCAGGAGTGGCCTCGCGTGCTAAGCGCTCTGGGCCAAGATGCTTACGGAAATGCTACTATACATGCGTGAAAATAAATTGCACGAAGTGTCGCAACACCCCTCTGGGTCTCTGCCATGCAAGAAAATGTCACGAAATCGTCGTAACGCTTCCTCTCTGCTGCTACGCAGTGAAAGAAAATGTTAAAGAGAATCTGCCGCCGTCCTACCCCAACCAACCTCCTATGATCGGACAAAAATCCTTTGGATTCTCACCGTAATCAGCGTTGAAGGACCGAAGCTTTGTCACAAGGTGGACATCACCCAGTCGCCACGAGAGCCGAATTGTAAAGTTGACGCTGCTCTCCCATTTCTTGTTCAGGAGATGCAGCTCGCGATTCAATTGCGCATTGGCCCATTGGTGGAAAAATGGAAGCACAAGGAAGACTACTCTCCCCTGGGGCCCATCCTCCCTGGGCACACGAAGGAGTTGAGAAGGCCGCTGCTGAATAGCATTCCGTATGGCATCGATGATGCGAGACGAAGTTCCACTCCGCCTAAGTTTGCTAATGAAAATGTTTGCTTGCTGTCTGGCGAGGAGGGGAGAGCTGCATAGCCTACCGTACCGCAACGCCATAGCCACAGGCCACGCGCGGTGCACTGAGGGAGGGTGGTGAGATAGCTCTGAAAGAGGAACCCATTGGCTCGTCACCTTCTCGTGCACACTGTGGCAAAAGCTGGTTGTGTTATCAGTCCTGGATTTCTTGAAAAGGTGCACATCAAGAAATGTTGCTTCATGATGGGATAGTCGCTCCAACTCGAGGGCGAAAGGTCCGGCACGCAGGCTGAGCATCGTGAAGAACCTGTCGCACTGCTGGTTCGGGCCGTCGAAGAAAGCGATAATGTCGTCTTTGAACCTGAAGTAGCATCGAAGCCCAACAGAACGGAAGAACGCAGCATCGTTGATCCACGGTTCTTCCGCAAGCTGAAAGAATGTGCTGTCAGATACTTCTCCACTGCAAATCATCCCCATGCCGCTGCCATGCAATACTTTCCAAAGGTGTTCTGGTATTCCTGGGAGCTCGACGTATTGGTGCCCAAGGATGAAATTCAACACCCTAGTGAACCTTCGCTGCTGCCCACCGTGGAAAAACTTGCTGGACTGCTCGCGAAGGACGCTGTGGGTTCCGCTCATATAGTACTCTTTGATGTCTATCTTCATGATGGTAACGGCTTGGGAAAAGATTTCACGGGATAAGCGAGAGACGAATACCGAAGAGTCCTTTACCAAATGAGGCAACTGGTCTAGATGCCCCCGAAGCTCGCCGGCCAAGAACCGCATCGCAGGAGCGATAATGCTGCGAGGCTGCATGGCGTGAAGCAGGCGGATGGTGCATTTTGTCTGGGGCTTGTGTGTCTTTGCTGTCGCCGCTACTTTGAAAGTAATGCCCCTCTTGCTACCTTTTCCACTTACAAGCGCCCTGAATAAGTGCGGGTCGAATTCGTTGTCCATGTCATTTGCTGCCTCTTTACACATTGACACGTACTGGTCGCACACGTCCTCCGTAAGAACGTCTGGGTCCTCGTGAACTCTCTCGTACTTGTTTTGATTGCTCAAAGCCTGAATGTATGCAATTTGCAACCGCCCTTTGTGCATCAGTGCGAATCCACCGTCCTTGTCTGTGGGGAGGCACCCCCACAAGCCTCCACGAAGAGTTGTTAAAGCGGTGGACACAATGAGGGGCAACCGAGGGCTTGCGCCGCAACGACAACGAGATTTGATGCAAGCTTGCCACAGCTTTGAGCGCACGTCGGAGATGTACGTGTTGACAGGCTCGGGAATCTCATCTCGAAAAGGCATCGTTGTCGGGCCGCGATCTATAATGTGCTGCCATGCCTGTCGAGACTGGTCGTTCCCAAAGTACTGTCGCCAAGCAACTTTGTTTAACAAATTCTGAATTCCCAAATTTACTGGTTGGATCGACGGTCTCCGCCGGTATCCAAAAATATGCTTACGATGATGACGCAATAGGTATTCTACTGCCCAATCGATCTGCCCCTTGTTGGGCACGGCGGTGACCTTGCGCAATGGGTCGAACAGATATATGCCTGGCCGGCCCAATCCACATTCCAGCACTCGGCCTATTTCCGTCTTGGTGAGGCCGCGAAGAAGGGATGTGAAATGATTCATGATGCACTTATTGTGAGAACAATTGGGAGGACAAGATGCGAGATGAGCGCCTGCTGCGTGCTCTTTGGCCCGCCGAGCGCTGGCCTTGATTCTCACCAACCTTTCCCATTTCCGCCGCGCCCTCGGCCCCTGGCCGACGGGCGCGATCTGTCGTAACGCTTGTTGGGGTTCTGTCCCTTCGAGCTGTCGCCACCTTTGCCGTACTTCCCAACCTTGCCACCCTTGCCTTTCGAGGTGGCTCTTCCCTTGGACTTGCCCTTGGACGTGTCCTTTCCTTTGCCTTTGCCCTTGCTGTCCTTGCCCTTGCCTTTCGGATCCGACGATCTGCCGCGGCCCCTGCCCCTGCCCCCGCTCTTGGCGGGGGACTGGCCGTTTTTTGGCCCGCTGGCAGGAGCGTTGGCAGGGAGGTCAGCAAGGACCACGTCCTCAGAGAGGCCACCTTCGCACTGCTGCTGGTACCACGACGCCGGAACGGTCAGCGACTTCTTGCGGGCCGCGTTGGCAGAACGTTTGGCCTTGTCGATCCTGGCGTCGATGACCATGTCGAGCAGCTCTGCTGGGGGCTTTTGACTCACAGTCTCAGCGATCTTCTTCTTCTTTGCGGCCTCTTTGTTTGCCGCGTCCATCTTTTTCTGCTTTCGATGGGCCGCTTGATCGACAACCTTCCTGTAGATGATCGCCAGACGCGGCTTGATGGTCTCAGGGTCCACTCGAATCTCGTCGTCCTCTGCCAGCCCCAAGAACGAGAAGGGCGACGTTCTTGCAAGCTCGACAGACATGCACTCCTGGTAGAACGCATCACGAGACGTCTTAAGTAGAAGATCTTCACGCTGCCGCTGGAGTACTTCCAAATCCAATTTTTTCTGGTATGCCAAGGTCGCTCCGTAGATCTTGGATTTGGCGTCCCTGATTGACATATCAGATATATCAATGTGAAGCGATTCGTCCAAACTGGTGCGCATCGTGTCGAGAAATGGGCTTTCATACGAAAGTGTGAATGGACGAACGCCTGGAGGGAATGTACCTTGATCCAGACTGTTTCTTTGCTCTGTGTATGAATTCTGCCTATCTATCAGCTTCTGAAGGCTGTCGATGTAGGCGCTCAGGGAGTTGCATGTCTTTTTAATTTGCGCCTGGACTTCAGGGCTGACGTAGCCTCGAAGCTGTTGTTCGATGACGTTGGCCAGCTGGTCCTGGCTCGGGTCAGCCGCCGGCCTGGTGCCCTGCTGAGGAACGAGCGTTGCCTCAGCTGGTGCTGCTGGTGGTGACGGAAGCTCAGAAGCCCGCAAGAGACGAGGAGAACGTTCGCGTTGAACTTGGGGCTCAGCTCCTGGGTGCAATGACCGTCGGCCTGCACCTCGACTCCCTGCATCATCACCCATGCCGTCAAGAAGAGTGTGTAATTGAGAAATCCGAAGATGATGGATGCACCTTTCTTGCTGAAGCTCCGGGGCTTCGGGACACGGGTATGTTTGGCCCCCTGGGACTCTGCAAACCCAGGAGTGGCCTCGCGTGCTAAGCGCTCTGGGCCAAGATGCTTACGGAAATGCTACTATACATGCGTGAAAATAAATTGCACGAAGTGTCGCAACACCCTGCCCTGCGGGGCTGGCGCTGCACGATACGCACTTGATCGATGTGTTGTCCGTCGGATTGGCTACGTTGGAAATCATGCGGCGCTGCTGTAAGGGGCGGGAGAGCACAGATGAGGCACGGCCATTGTTTCGATTCGCACGCGCAGGCCGCTCCTACTGTATATTTGTTTTGCCCGCTAGACGAGTCGCGCTGCGCACTGGAGTAGATTATCGCACGTGCGCGGTCAAGATCTGGCATTCCAGCTGTGCGTATGAGGCGTCGGATGGAGTGCGCGATGCTGTTGTGAGCGCGGCGTTCGCCCTGGCGCGCAAACAGCGACGCAAAGCATGCATCCACCTGGCGGCGACCACTGCACAAAGGGCGGGGGGTCGAGACCTCCGACCGCATCTCTCAAATGAAAAAAAAGCTCGACCACTAGGCTGTCTCTGCAAGCACCGGCCGCGAAAGAGGCCTCCCGAGGCCCGAGCTCGAAGAAGAAAAGACGGCGTGCATGTAAATTGTTGGAGTTCCGCGAGGATTTCTTGGATCGGCGCGGGACCCCCTCCCTGGCGCGCGGGGGCGGCGCCAAGGGGGCGGCGCCGCCAGGGAGGCCCTGGCGCCAGAAAACTGCACGGAGCTCCGCCGAAAGGTTGTGCTTATGTTTTTGTTTCTCTTCTCTTGGCATCGCTCGGACGTGTGCATTTTTTCTCGGCGAGGACCCTGGAGGAGCACCCTGGACCATCGAGCAAACAGAAACGCGCACGAAACCGACAAATGCACAGGGAGTGGACGTCCGAGCGATGGCAAGGTCCCGAGTCTGCCAGGACGTTGGTCCGGGCACCGTGCGCCGCCGCACGCGGCCCCCGGCGTTCCGCGTGCTGCACGGTCGGGCAACGGGCGGCGCACGCGCCCGCATTCCGCAGTTGCTTCGGGACCCACACAGCGTTCATGTCTGATTCTTCGACAGTTCTTAGATTTTTGGGGGGGGAAGATCCTTTCATTCTTGATTTTTCTATCCTGGGCCTCTTCCTGTTCACTGGGGGGGCCAGGAACAATTAGAAACGAGCACAATTAGGAATGAGCACGATTAGAAATGAACGACGTGTACGTTCTGTCCTCCTGCTCCTCCCCCCTTCTGCTTCGTGGGCGACGAGCATACCCACATCCGTGCCCTCGCGGTCGGGATGTGCAACCGCGGCACCTCGCGCTCGGCGGCGACGGAGCGTTCCTTCCATCGTGCTGCGGTCGGGGACTTCGGACCGCAGGGGGGGGGCATTGGCATGGACGTGGCCGTCGCGCAGTGAGGCTCCCCCATCATCGGGCGGCCGCAGATGCGCTGGTCGGGTGCCAGGCGCGCACGCCTGCCGACGGAGGCCCCCGGTGCGCGCTCACGGAGGCGTCGAGGTTGGAGGAGGAGGGGGGGCCTTCTCCTCGGGTGCGCATGCGCACGGACCTGCGCGCCCGCCGCCGCAGGTCCTGAGCCCTGGAGGGGAGGTGATCGCGACGTGCGCGCTCGCCGGATGGAGCCACAGCAGCGCCGCCCCCCGCAGCAGGACCCGGCTGATCAGAGCAGCCCGGGCCAGGGCACGATTGAAGCAACAATGCTGGTAACACGTCCACCATCCCTCGCTCTTGGCACAGCAGCATTTGGTGCATTTCCAACGCTGCGGCCAAGAGAAAATCTGTCTCTTCCTACATGCCCCATGGCGCGGGGCCATCAGAAGTGTGGACACGAAATGGAAAGAACCGAGCCTATCCTGGCCCGCAACAGCAATGCCACCCTGAAGTTCGTTGTTACAAGTTCCTCGTCCGAAGACTTAGGAACCAGAACGGCCTTGAGCCAAAATGGCTACGGACTCCTCCTCCTCCTCCTCCTCCTCCTCCTCCTCCTCCTCCTCCTCCTCCTCCTCCTCCTCCTCCTCCCTCCTCCTCCTCCCTCCCCCTCCCCCTCCACTCCCCCTCCTCCTCCTCCCTCCTCCTCCTCCTCCTCCTCCTCCTCCTCCTCCTCCTCCTCCTCCTCCTCCTCCTCCTCCTCCTCCTCCTCCTCCTCCTCCTCCTCCTCCTCCTCCTCCTCCTCCTCCTCCTCCTCCTCCTCCCCCTCCTCCTCCCTCCCACAATTATTCAATATGAATACTATTCTCCCTCTTCCCCTGATGGCGTGCTGGGAGTGGCCGACCCCCCCCGCGTACTGTTTTTTACACACAGGATTCCCGGGAGTTGGGTTTTCGCTTGCGTTTTTTTCAAAATGCTGCTCTCGCTGAGGCGCCGGCCTCATTTCTGCTCCCGAATCGTTCCGAATCGTGCTCCCGCTGCAGCGTGGGCCTCATTTTCGGATCGGTGTTTGGCCTCCGTCGTTCAGGATGGCGTTCTCGCCCCAGCGCGGGCCTCTTTCTCGCGCGCCCATCCGCCCGCCACCACCGCGCCGCACCACCACCACCACCACCACCACCACCACCACCACCACCACAACCACCACCAGCACCACCACCACCAGCAGCAGCAGCAGCACCACCACCACCACCACAACCACGCACACACGCACGCACGCACGCACGCGCACCACCACCCACTACGCACGCGCCACGCGGAGCCACAGGTCCGCTACGACACGCGTCCGCGAATAGAGAAAATCAGCGCCATGGTAAGGGATGGGAGGGAGGGGGGGTCGGACGTCAGATATGACGCGAGCGCACCTAGCTTGTCCCCCTCCCCCTCCCCCTCCTCCTCCCATTTCTCCTTCTCCCCCTCCTTCCTCCTCCTCATCCTCCTGCTCCTCCTAGGCCCTGGCCCAGGACAGGCTTGCAGCGGCCGCTTGCTTCCCGTCCCCCGCAGGACACACCATCGCCTGCGTGTTGCTCCCACCCACCAATGTGGGCCTCCCTTCTGCAGACCGTGTTGTATAACCCTCTTTCCATGACAGACTCATGGCGGGTTGCTGCCATATCCCAGCGCCTCAGTTTCGCTGACATCATGATGCTCCCAGGCACACAGAAGAGGAGGCGACCAGGAGACGGCGCGACCATCCGCAAGTGCGGAAAGCACTGGGAGATCGAGTATGGGTGGCAGAAGGGCCGCCTAACGAACAAAAGTGCGGGATGCTCACTTATGCTACGATGTCGTGCCTTCAGACGGTCGCATATTCATCGGATCTACGAACCCCCGACCGCCCTCGCGGGAAGGGCAGGGGGCGTCAGATTGCGTTCATCGACCTTCGACATTGCCGCCTTCGTATTATACTTTCCACCGCAGCAGCGACATCAAGTCGACCACTGGAAGACTACAGTGGCCCGTCTCGCAGAGTGGCTCCATGCCACAATCCAGCAGCTCCCGCGTCGTTGTCTGGTGATCGTCGGAACGGATGCCAACTGTGAATTCGGCAAGACCTCCAGTGGCAACGGCTCATACCAGTACACGGCCGACGGGATTCACGTGGGATCACACAATACGGCGGCCGAGAATTACACATCAGCGGAGTGGTGGCGTTTACTACAGATGGAAGGATTGACAGTGGTGGATACACACTTTCCGACAGGGCCAACCTATTATGGGCAAGAGGCTGGCCACCGTTCTCACCCCGACCACTTCATCGCTCCAAGGGGCACCATAGAAGCCACACTCTCTTGCTGCTCTCTCATGGGGGCCATGCGAGACCTCCAGCTCATCCCGCACGCTGACCCGAAGGATCATGTCCCCATGCCCTGGCGCCTGAAGTACTGCCTCCACTACCAGGATGACCACGAGGGCGACCCGACCTGGGACTACGACAGACTGGCGGGTTTGGCCGCGCCGCGAGGGGATCATGACCTCGTCGGGGAACTGGAACGCCTCTGCGAGAACACGGCTGCAGCGTGGCGCAGCTCTTCTAGACAGGACGACCCCTCCGAGGCGTGGCAGCCTCTCGTCTCTGACATTCGGGAAGCAGCCTCGCCCCTCTACCAGCGCGGTGCACCACCTGGCCCGACAAGTGAGTACGCCCAACAACGGCAGGTACTTCTCGAGCGCCGCCGCAACCTCAGCAGGCAGTGCAGGACGGAGACCGACAGGCTTGCCATCAGGGCCTGCGACAGGGAGATCAAACGCACCAAACGCCGACTTGACACCCAGCACGTCGAGCAGTTATTGCGGGAAGCCACCGCCGCTGCGGAGCGAGGACACACTACCACGGTCTGGAAGCTGGCGTACCAGATTGGCGGCAGATACCACGGAGTGAGGAATCGGCGTTTCAATACGATACCACACTACCCCCCCTCCCTCGACGAGTGGACGACGACCCTACTGGCGGATGCGGCAGAAGGAGGCTTCTCGGCAGTGCAGATTCCTGAGCCCGAATTTCCAGCTGAGATCGCCCTGGCGCTGAGAGAGCAGAATGATCCAGACGGCACGTGGAAAGATCTACGCGGTTATCCCGCGGCAATTGCGTACAACGACTGGACGGACACGCTGAGGTGCCCCCGACATGCGGCACGCAGGCGCTACGGCCCCCCCCCCCCCTCCCCCCCTCCCCCCCCCCCACACCACACACACACACACACACACACACACACACACACACACACACACACACACACACACACACACACACACACACACAACACCACCACCACACCCACCACCACCACCACCACCACCACCACCACCACCACCACCACCACCACCACCACCACCACCACCACCACCACCCCACACACACTCCGCGCCCACCGAGCTCTGGTACGCCATCCCCAGGGCAGCCAGCATCGAGGCGCGAGGAGACCCGACTGGGGTTCCTGACGTCAGAGATCGACCAGACCGACCACGACAAGTACCACACGTACATCGCCCACGCTTGGCGGAGCGCCTAGGGGCACTCTTTCGTCAGATTCGCACCGCCTGTCGCACCCCGCCCTGGTGGCACTGGTCGAGGACACTTCAGCTTCCCAAAGGCATTGATAAGGTGGGGACTCGAGCGATGAGGCTGATCCACTGTTGCTGCCCTTTTGGCAAAGCCTGGTACCGAGGAATTTTCATCAGGCACCGCCGCCCTCCGCTTCCCCATCACTCTCATGGGCACGCCCGTCATCGATCGAGGCAGGGTGCCCAGCTGGTCTCTAAGCTACATACTTGGAGGCTACGCCGACTTCGGGTCAACCACCTCCAGCTCAAGAAGGATATGACCAACGCCTTCCCCTCCACGTCCCACGACACCTTGGAGGAGGTGGTGGGCCAGATCATTCCAGATATGCAGGACCAGCTGTTCCCCAAGCAGCGCCACACCGAGGCGGTCATGGAGGTCCGCGCGGGAGACGCTCGAGGCTTCTACGTACCCAGGCATGGTGCAGGCATGGGCGATGGCAACGCCTGTGAACTTTTCGTTCGAGCATTTGTGCGACCTTTGGAGGATTGGAACCGTGAGCTTCTCATTACCAGCACGGATTCCTTTCACCTCCAGGACGGCTCCATCGTTCCGTTGATGGAGGCCGCCACCCTCATTTCCTGCCCGTGCTCGGGGCAGCTAGTGGATTTGTCTCTTCGTGATTACGCAGATGATGTTTCGCAGACGTTACCAGTGCCAGACAACAGCCCTTTTCGCGCCGCGGAGGTGGCCAAGCAGTCCTCGGACCTCCTGGCGGCCAAGCTCAGAGCCCAAGGCGGCTTCACGCAGAATGCATCCAAGGAGCTCGTTCTGCCTGTCTTCGTGGGCCCTGGAGGGTGCACGGCCACCCGTGCCGTCCTTTCGGGACTCGTCTCTTTCCCTGGGCACCCAAGGCCCAGGCGGCCTACCTCGGAGGTCTGGAGCAGCTCACTGGAGGCGCGGGGGCGGAGGTTCGAGTCAGGATCGATGCTACAAGATCGGCTTGGTGCAAACTGGGTCGTTTCTGGAGACCTACCTTCTGGCCAAACGGGACTACGCCAAATTGGATGCCGTTCTCCTGGGTTTCGCGAAGGTCGTTCTTCGGGGAGTTGCCAGACGTACTGATGTCGAGGGAGTAGAGCAGATTCGGGTTCCACACGCCTGGCAGGTCCACAAGCGCCTGCGCATCGCCGACGCCCGCACCGAGCTCCTCGTACGCAGGTTGAGGTACTGGCAACAACTTGCCAAGTACCCAGAATCTTCTGTGCAAGCAGTCGCTGCGCTGCTGGGGAACTTTGAGGCGTTGCAGGAGGCGCCTGTTTTTCACCGTGTCGGGCTGGATCGACAAAAATGCGAACCCGTGGGCCCTCCAAATGCAGAAAGACATCCTCACTCTCGGGCTCCCCCCCAAGGGCAAGCTCTTCTTGGACCAGGGCCACTCGATCAGGGACATCTTTACTCAGTACAGGGTTGCGGCTTTCTTCGCTAGTCTGGACCCCGCTGGGCTCCGCAAGGTGCATTGGGACCAGGCCTCCTCTCGACCCCTGGTGCCTCCACAGGACCTCTCGGCCCCAGTGGCCCAGCCAGTTCCAGAGCCACATCAAGAATACGTGTGTGAACTACCTCTTGAAAACGGGGAACCTTGCAATTGTGCCTATGTCTCCAAGGCGGCCATCAAGGCTCATCAATGTCATCATCCTGCTCATAAGTGCCGTGTACCAATCCATCAGTTGGTCGTTACTAACCAGTGTTTCGATTGCTCCTCGACCTTCTCCTCGGACGCACTGGCGAAGCGACACATTGTGCAGTCGCTGAAAATGAAGCGGTGCGTCGCCGACTACAGCCCCTACTCCCCCGCCCTGGGAGCACCCGAGGTTTTGTTCTGCCCAGTCTGCTTGGATCCCGAAGCCGCGCATCCAGTCCATCGTGCGAGGCTCCTCCGTACCGACGCCGCCAGGGCTCAAGGCGAGTTCCCGAGTTTAGACGCCCTCCAGCGCCACATCAGAGAGGTCCACGCACCCCCCGCTCCAGATATCCACTCTGATGTCGAACCTCGCGGAGCGTGCGCTGAGCATTGGGACCGAAGAACGACAGCGAGAACTCAGAGGACGACAGCGAGGCGAGGGAGATCGCACCCGCAGCAACGAGCGAGGAGCGCCCCGCCGCTCACGCAGAGGAGGAGGCCAGGGGGCAGAGCCTTCGCAGGCACCAGCAGCCGCCGCGGCAGCTGCGGCAGGGCCAGCCCCCATGGTCTGGGACACCACCGACACGCACTTCGGGCTGGCCCGCCAAGATGTCGCCAACTTGCAGCGCATGCCGATCGAGTGGGTCCAGGCAGCGATGCCCGTCCTGCTGCGAATGTCTCTCAGGCACGAGCAGGGCCTGAACCAGCTCGAGGCCGCCAGCTACAGGCACGTGCAGTTGCCCACCAAGCACGACGTTGTCCAGTCGATGCAGCTGACGGCGAAGTACTACGGCACGGAGGCCGCCAGGATCAGAAAAGACAAGAGAGAGCAGCTGGAGTCGGGCCAGACGGTCGACGAGCTGGTGGCCCTGGGCATCCCCCACCCGCACGTGTGGATGGCGCTGGTGGGCGCCCTCGTCGCACAGGGCGAGAAGATAGGTCAGCAGAACCTGGCGGCGCTTACGCAGTACCAGCAGAAGGTCAGGCAGGAGCGCCCGACCAACAGCACCCTAGCGGACGACATTCGCCATTGTCGAATGCAAAGCACCCACAATGGAGAGATGACGAAGATCTGGATTGCGGTCGACCCTCCCACGCTCGAGAACACAGTGGTCAGCTCCATGGTGCAGCTGGGGGGGGCGCACAAGCATGGCACACCGCCGAGGAGTCACAACGCCCGCCTCCTCCAGTTGCACCTCGACGGGATGTGATTGTTACTACGGCGGGCAGAGATACTACCACCCCCATCGAGGCCGACGCGGGCTCAAAGGACCCAGCGGACGACGGCGAGTCTGCGACCCAGGGGAACCCAGAGAGTACCTCCGTCCTCGATCCAGGCTACGACTCCGTCACTTTCCGCGCCCCCGACTCAGAGGAGACCTGAGCCACCTGTGAGCCATGGAGAGCCCAGAGAATCTAGAGTACGTCAAAATAACCTCACCCCCCCGCTTGAGTCCCCCCTCCCTCTTTCGACGATCCTGAATCTCCTGGGCCTTCAGCGCTGAGCCCCCCCGCAAAACTTGTTGGTGTCCCGTTGTTGTGGGGCGCGGGGCCTCGGCGCCCAGGTTCTTGTCGCTCTGGCGTCCTGGTTTTCCCCACGCGGCTCCAGAGAGCCTGCCCCGCTCGGACGTCCTGGGGGCCTGGGTAGTGACTTTGCGTGTCTCTCTTTTTCCCGTTTACAGCCCCGCCCCTTCGGCCTGCCTGTTTTTAAACCGTGGCAACCCAGCCGTTGAAGGGGGTGGGTGGGAGCTCGGTGCCTTCGAGGCCACGCGCGGCCCATGATACGAGCCGCGGCGCACTCTAGAGAGGAGCCCAGCGGTGGCCAGTGATGCGAACTGCTGCTAGAGGCTGGCACCTCTCTGAAGAGCTTCACACACACACACACACACACACTGCTCCTCCTCCTCCTCCTCCTCCTCCTCCTCCTCCTCCTCCTCTCCTCCTCCTCCTCCTCCTCCCTCCTCCTGCTCCTCCTCCTCCCCTCCTCCTCCTCCCTCCTCCTCCTCCTCCTCCTCCTCCTCCTCCTCCTCCTCCTCTTCCTCATCCTCATCATCATCATCATCATCATCACCATCATCATCATCATCATCATCATCATCATCATCATCATCGGCTCAGGCGCTCTTTGAATTGGTACCGGCGCCCCCCTCCAGTGCTTCGCACTGGCCCTCCAGGAACAGTCGGTACCTAGCCACTGGCACGAGTGCCCGGCGGCCAGGTAGCAGACGCTTCTGGGGTGGATGGGGTTGCGCCAGCCAGGGCTTCTGGATTGTATAGGCATGCGAGGGACCAGGACGAGCACCGAGAGCAAGATGTTGGCGGCCTCGAGCGCCGCCTGCAGCGCAGTGCCGCCGCCGCCCCCTGCGGCGCTCGCTGCCTGGCCGCGCAGCGCGCCCGCGCGCCGCGCGCGCAGCAGCCCGGCGGGCCCTGCGCCTCCAGCCCGGCCGAGCGAGGCGCGCGCTCCGCCGCCGCCTCGGCGTGCACGGGCGCGCTCGGCCGCCGCTTCCTTGCCGGCGCGGCCGGCCAGCGCGGCTGGGCGCAGCATGAGCGCCAGCTGCTCGGCCAGCAGCCCAACGCGCAGCGCGCAACGGCGTAGCCCCTGGCCGGGGCTGCGCGCGGCCGGCGCCAGCGGCCCAACCTTGCGCCTGCGTCGCCCCCAGGGCGGCGTCAGCGGCGTTGCGCTGTAGGACGCACCCGAGCGACTGGTGCAGTCGCCGATGGCCGCAAAGCGCTCGGTGTCCCGCGCGGGCGCCAGCAGCCGCGTCAGGGCCAGCGCTTCCTCGCCGAGGCGACCATGGTCCCCCACCATGACTGGCACCACGGCCTTCCTGTTCCTATTCCTCCTCCTCCTCCTCCTCCTCCTCCTCCTCCTCCTCCTCCTCCTCCTCCTCCTCCTCCTCCTCCTCCTCCTCCTCCCCCTCCTCCTTTGGGGGGAGGGGCTAACCCAGACATGCTCGCGCCGTGACATGATACGACGGAAGATGTTCGGCCGTTTCCGGCCTCCGGGGTCCCTCGCTGGGCCCGGGGCCGGAGTGTCAGAAAGCCACTCGGGAGGAAAAACCGGCCCCGGGGAAAGGGTCGGGACTTCCGGGGGGTCCACATTGAAAGCATCAGGACATCGCACGTCTGGGCACGGAGAGAGAGGACAGGGGGACGGCCTCCCACGCCCCGAGGGCTGCGTGAGGCTCCTTCGCCACTTCTCACTGGCCTCCAGCCCCAGCCTGGTCGGAGCTCGTTGCCGTCGTCATGAAACCCTGGAACCACCGCAGCCGGGCGGCGGCGACGAAGGCCCGGCGGCCCCTGGAGGTCCCCAAATCAGGGCCCCAGAGGCCAGAGCAATGCAAACCAGGATTTTGAAAGTTCCAGCGGGAGGGAGCGGAGAACCGAGAATGTTTCGACCCATTGCTGCAGTTCTCGTGGGTTTGCTAGAGTCCCGGTCGGTCAAAGTCACCGTCCAGGGGTCTCCAGAAGCCTACGCCCCCACGCGGGGGATCTACGCATCGAGGAGGGGATCGATTACAGAGTTGATGCACCCCAAACTCGATTTTCTTATCAAGACCATGAAGAAGGCGTAGAACGCTCGTATGTCTAAGAACAACATACGTATGTTGTGTAGCTTCGACGAGAAAATCGATGTTGGGGTAAATTGATTTTGCAGTCGATCTCCTACTCGAGAAGTATACGTCCCCCCACGGGGGGTCTACGCCAGAAGCCCCCAGAGGCCTCCGAAGATGCCCTGAAAGAGCCCACAGGGGCCAAAGGCGTCCAGAATCCTTGGGCCTCCACCCTCGACGGCGTCGAGTGGCGACGACGACGGCGACGACGACGACGACGACGGCGACGACGACGACGATGACGACGACGACGATGGCTCTGAGATCCGACGTGGCGAAAGAGTTGCACCATCGCAAAGAATTACGGCTGGAGCTCTAGACTCTAGACCCCATCTTTCGGCGGCATGCTTCGAGCTGGGTCGAAATGTGAGGGTACCAGGGCCCAGAGCAGTGCGGGATCGTCCAGCGTGGAAGCTTGCAACGCCCAGATCTCAGACGACGACGACGACGACGACGACGACGACGACGACGACGACGACGACGACGATGACAACGTGGACGATGCTGACGGCGACGCCGACGGCGATGGCGCTGGCGGCGGCGGCGACGGCGAGGTGCAGTGGGACGCTCCCCGCCTCACGGTGTGGCTCGCCCTCGAGCACATGAGCGGGGGCGACGCCCAGGGCCTCGTAGACCAGCGGCGCGAGGCAGCGCTGCTCACGGCCCGCTTCGATCCGATCCCCAAGCTCCCAGACGTGATCGCTTGTGAGAAAAAAGTCCAGACGGACCGTTTTTGGCAACTTTCGGCGTCTGGGGATGCGTACGGGACCCTGGGACCATCAGAAGTGGCTCGGGATGAAAAACCGGCCCTGGGGAAGGTGTCAAGACCTCTGGGTGTCCACGCTGTGAAAAAATCTGGAAGAACGGTTTCTACCGCTGCTGGCGAGCCCCCCCCTCCCCCCAGTTCGAACAGGGGGGGAGGGGTAAGATTCCCCCCCCCTCTCCTAACTGGGGGGGAGGGGGGCCGGACCTGGAAACACTCCTTCTCCGGGAAAGGGACTTCTCCTCCAGGACAGAGACTCTTTCTCCGGGTGGCCCACGAAAAAACGTAGCACCCCGCAATTGCGGATAAGAGTGAGGGGGCGGGCGCGGGCGACGCGGGCGTCGAGCCGGCGGACCTCGTGGCCCTCACCTTCCTTGTCGATGGCGCCCTCCTCCTCCTCCTCCTCCTCCTCGTCCGCGTCCTCGTCCTCATGCGCAGGCGCCGAATGTTTGGCTTGTTCAGTGAACGTAGTTTGGGTCGCGGATGGGTCGCGGGCTCTCAACCTCCACCTGGAAGGCATTTGGAAACAGCCCGCCGCAGGCGCCGATAATTTTGATTTGTACACTGAACGCGGCTTGGGTCGCAGATTCTCCACCTGGAACGAACGCAAAAGAAACCCGCCGTAGGCGCCGAAGTTTTGGCTTGTTCAGTGAACGTAGTTTGGGTCGCGGGTGGGTCGCGGGCTCTCCACCTCCACCTGGAAGGAATTCAGAAACAGCCCGCCGCAGGCGCCGATAATTTTGATTTGTGCACTGAACGCGGTTTGGGTCGCGGGTGGGTCGCGGGTTCCCCACCTGGAACGAATGCAAAAGAAGCCTGCCGCAGGCGCCGAAAATTTTGGGCGGGTCGCGGGGTGGGTCGCGGGTTGGTCGCGGGTAGGTCGCGGTGGGTCGCGGGTGGGTCGCGGGCGCGGTTTGGGTCGCGGGTGGGTCGCGGGGTGCGTCGCGGGGTGCGTCGCGGGTGGGTCGCCGATGGGTCGCGGGTGGGTCGCCGGGGGGGTCTCGGGGTGGGTCGCGGGCGGGTCGCGGGGTGGGTCGCGGGTGGGTCGCGAGTGGGTCGCGGGTGGGTCGCGGGGTGGGTCGCGGGTGGCTCGCGGGGTGGGTCGTGGGTGGATCGCGGATGGGTCGCGAGGTGGGTCGCGGGTGGGTCGCAGGGCGGGTCGCCGGTGGGACGACGACAACAACAAGCAACAAACAACAAACAACAACAAGAATCCGCATCGCGGAATTCCACTTCAGCCACGCACCCAGGGACAGTGAATGACCGTTCGGTTCAGCCCCCTCACTCTGACAATGTAACGCTAGAAAAAACAATGTAACACTAGGGAATGGAGGGGGGTGGGAGGGCGGACCTGGAAACATTCCTTCTCCGGGTGGCCTACGAAAAAAAACAAGGTAACAGTAGGGAAAAAAACACCTCACCCCACCACCCCCGCCAACCCCACCACCACAAATCCCCAACCAAACCCCCCAATACCAAACACCAAACACTACACTCTGAGCGCCAAACACCAAACACCAAACCCAACGCCCCCAGTTCAAAGGGGGGAGAATTCTACACCCACACACACACACACATACATACACACGGTTTCCGAGAGAATGGGGAAATTGTTCCAGTCAAGCGACGGTAGATCGCGCTCCTTCGGAAATCAAGACGTCGGGAGTTTGGGATTCAACCCGATCCCCAAACTTGGATCCAGATTTCGATCCGATCTGATCTGGTACGGACCGAGTCCCTGTCCAGCCTGCAGGGGGCAAGCCCGAGATCCCAGGCGCTCCGATTCTGCGATGATTCGGGCGCGGTTCGAGAAGGAGGAGGCGGAGGAGGAGGGGGAGGGGGACGAAGAGGAGGAGGAGGCGGAGGAGGGGGAGGGGGACGAAGAGGAGGAGGAGGAGGAGGAGGAGGAGGAGGAGGAGGAGGAGGAGGGGGACGAGGAGGAGGGGGACGAGGGAGTAGGCTCGCTTCGCCCGCGTCTCGCTTGGCTCGCCCCGGTCGTGACTCGCGTCGCCTGCGGTTTGCTTCGCCCGCGGCCCCCCTGTCTGCCAGGGATGGCCTGGCCCTGCCTGCTTGGGTGGCCGTCGGAAGAGAGAGAGAGAGAGAGAGAGAGAGGCAGAGACAGAGAGGGGGGGAGGGCTGCGTGCACACACGAAAACAGGGAGAGTGGGAGGCGGAGCTGACATACACATGATCCTGGGTCGAGGGTTCACAGCCCACCCCCCCCACCCCCCCCGATGGGATGGGCCCCAGGGTTCCACAGCCCCCACCCCCCAGATGGAATGGGGCGGGGCGACGAGGGCGACGACGACGACGACAACGACGGCGACGCCCCGCCGCCGACGACGACGACGACGACGACGAAGATGACGACGACGACGCCGCCGCCGCCGCCGCCGCCGCCGCCGCCGACGGCGACGACGACGACGACGACGACGGCGACGACGACGACGACGACGACGACGACGACGACGACGACGACAACGACGACGACGACGACGGCGGCGGCGGCGGCGCCGACGGCACCGACAGCGCCGACGCCGACGCCGACGGAAAACGCACGACGACGACGATGACGACGATGACGACGAACCACTGCACACCCACCCACAGGGGGAGCCGGGGTAGCCCGCACCCTCCACCACGCCACACCCACAGTGCCACGACCACAGGGAGGGGGGAGGAGCGATCGTATTCGCGAGGCCTTCGCGAAGCGCACGGGCGTACCAATCCAGCAGAGTGTGGCCCGATCCCATGTGGATTGGGGGTCGGCAGCCCTGGATCAAACACACACACACACACACACGTGTATATATATATACCTGTGTGTATGCGTACATATATACCTACCTACCTACCTACCTACCTACCTACCTACCTACCTACCTACATACATACATACATACATACATACATACATACATTCATACAAACATACACATATATGCATGCATGCATACATGCATGCACACACATACATACATGCATGCATGCATACATACCTACATACCTACATCCTTTCATACATACATACATACATACATACATACATACATACATACATGCATGCATGCATGCATGCATGCATGCAGACAGACAGACAGACAGACAGACAGACAGACAGACAGACAGGCAGACGTACATGCATACATACATACATAAATACATGCATGCATACATACATATATACATATGGGCGCTGGCCGAAATTTCAGTCGATTGAAATCACATAGGGGATGCCGTGGTCAGCATGTTGAGGGAATGCGCCGAGGTTGGCCAGATCTAGTGCCACCGCGGGGAAACAAAGCCTCGCGGTTCCTGCCCTCGCCCTTGCGAACAGCATCGACGTCGAGAATTTAGGCCCGCGCGCATGTGTATACATATGCATATGCACACACATGCAAACATCCATACAACCAGACATACATACGTACACGTATACATATGTGTATATATATATATACACATACACTTAGATGTGCACGTAGACCTATCTATGTATCGAGAGAAAGAGAGAGAGAGAGAGAGAGAGAGAGAGAGAGAGCGAGGCCAAGAAGCTGAGATGAGCAGGACGTGGAGGAGAACAGGGAGGAGAACGACGCGGAGCGAAGACGAGCCATGAGGCGGTGTTCTGCGCGACCTCTGTCTCGTCTGGTACCTGACCCTCCCTCACCCCTCGCCCTCCTCTTCCTCTCCTCCTTACCCGCCTCCTCATCGCACTTGTCCTGTTCATCACAATCCTCGTTCTCCTCCCCTCCTCCCTGTCCTCCTCTCATCTACCTCGTCCACCTTCTTCCCTTCTCAGAGCAAGAACTCGAAGATGCCCGGCAAGGGACACCACCCCAAGAAGAGTGGGGGCCACAGCCGAGCTGGTTGCCCCATGTCGGTGGGGTCCTCGGCGGCTGATGCCAAAAACACAGGCATCCGATATTTTGTTGTCGTCTTACGGGGGGCCAGAGTTCTGAACCAATGCCCCGGGACCGGGTTTTCGTCCCGGATCTCTTGTTGATGGTCCCGGGGCCAGGTGAGGGTCCCCAGACGCCAGAAACTATGAGAGACTTCCGTTCCGATTTCTTCCTGCTGTCGGAGGTCTTGGAAGTGTTTCTTCCTCCCGCCGCTGGCACCGCCCCAGGCGGGAGGCGACCTGTTCCACCCCCACTTCCTGCGCCGCGTGCTCGCGTCCGTCGGCAGCGCCCTGGAGTACATCCACTCGGAGGCACACAAGAGGAGGAGGAGGAGGAGGAGGAGGAGGAGGAGGAGGAGGAGGAGGAGGAGGAGGGGGAGGAGGAGGAGGGGGAAGGATGATGGTCACGAGGAAGTAGTACGAGAATGAGGGATGGAAGGGCGACGAGGGCGGAGGGAGGAGAGAGGGCGAGGCGGAGGAGGACAAGCAGGAGGACCGCGGAACGAGGGACTGGAGCCGACGGCCTGCCTGACGGCGCGCCTGAGGTGGGGGTTCGGTGGGATCTTTCGGGGGTGGACAGACCTCCTACCCTGACACGTCGATTAGTGAATCGGCCGTTTTCGGTTCGCTGGAGGGCGTCACGGCCGTCATTTTTGCGGGTCCAGGTCCGTCGGTTTCGGCCCCAGGCCGTTTTCACTAAAAGGAGGTGTACTAAAGGGATGTTTGTCCACCGCCGAATCTCCAGATTCTGCGCAGACGTCCGGCCCTTCTTGGGGCAGGCGAGAACGGAGGGGGTACGATTAGGTCGGGCATGTCCCCCTACAGGCGGATTTAGCACGAAAAACAAATTCAACAAATAGTCAGAAATAGTCACAAAATACACGAAAAATCGTGCCCAAACTGTTTCTGGGCAATTTTTGCAAATTCCTCCTGTAGAGGGATAGGCCCGACTTAAGGGTACGATATCTGTTTTCATGCAGCTGGTGTTGGCACTGCCCGTGGGCATGTTACTCGATGCGTGGTCGCCTCGGGCGCCGAGGGGCGCCAGAGGAACCAGCTGCTACGTATAGGTGGTCCGATGTCCTTCCTGGTTATCCCCACGCACCCTGTTCGTCGGTTCCGACCCTCCATCCTTTCTCCCCCTGCTGTTCCTGCTTCTGGTCTCCCCTTCTCCGTCACGCCCTCCTCCGCCCTCCCCCCTGACCATCTCTCTCTCCACCTTCTGGCGGGATCCATGGCGTGCGGCCTGGATAGTTACTCTTGAACTTTATTTTGCACTACCCATCGTAGTCTGTGAGCCGCCTTTCCCCTCTGTCTCCTCTTGGGCTCAAGTCGGCACGGGCGAGGCCCGCGGGCGGGCCTTTCAGCGGTCGTGCCTGGGCACGGCCTCCCCACCGCGGAGCGATTCCGCGGCCGTTCGCGCTCGCGGGCGCGCTGCTCGCGTTCCTGGGCCTCTCGGGGGACCTCCAGGAGGAAGTGCTGGCCGCGGGGGGGCGGCCTGAGCCAGGACCAGGTCCTGGATTTTTTCGGTTTGCGCTTCGCGGGCGAGGAGGAGGACGACACCGAGGAGGACGAGGCGGTGAAGACCGCCGAGGTCGAGGAGATCGAGCTCATCGACGGTGTGGCCGACGCCAGCGTCGGCAGCACGCCGCTCGTCATGGGCGGCTGGGCACAGTGGAACAGGATCTACTACCTGCCCAAGGGGCAGGCCTCGGGCGTGGTCATGCTTCTGGTGGAGCGGATCGACAAGGCAGCCGATCAGACGTGGACCTGCGTGGACCCGAGCCTCAGGGTGCAGATCGTGAGTTTGAAGGACAAGCAGTCGGTCTTCACCAAGCCTCCGCGAGGAATCATCAATTGGACGCCATTCCCAGGTTTGGCCAACAAGACGAGGGATATGGTGCTGCCTGTTTCCTCTCGTCTGCTCGCGCGCGAGGAGCTGGACGCCGAGAACGTCAAGTTGAACAAAGTTTCGGACGAGAAGGAAGGTTTCTGGAAGTCGGGCGGCAAGAGGAAGGTCTCGAAGAAATCGGGCCTCGTGAACTGGATCTGGGCTATGGGCTCGAACCTGTTCTGCTACGGGTGCCTGCACCGCTCGTGGGGGAGCCTGGCTGGCGGGGCTTTCGCCGCCCGGCGCATTTCGAGGTACTTCCAGCTGGGGCCGCTCTCTCACAAGATGCACGAGGCGGCGGTGGCCGCGAAGGAGACACGGCGGAGGAGGTGTCCGACTACTGGGGTCCCTTGGTGGGCGCCTGGGAGTCTGGAGAGCTGGAGACGATCCCGATGGCCATCGGGGGCGTGATCTTCGCGGTGTGGCTGCTGAACTACATGTTCCGCCAGTGGCAAGGGCTCTCGGACTCAGACCCGGAGTCCGACGCGTCCGAGGGCGAGCTGATCCTCGGGACCACGGTGCCCGACTCAGACGACGAGCCCGACGCGAAGGGGTTGTACGCCGAGCTGGAGCGAGGGCAGAATGAGCTGCGAGCAGGGCTGGTGGCGATCACGGAGGCGCTGAACCAGAGCCGGAAGGAGCCGCCGACCGCGCCTGTCGGTGGGTCGGGGAGCTCCGCTGAGGAGGGTGCCGCGCCGACGGCGGCGCAATTGGACCAGTTCATCGCCAAACTGAACGAGCACGAGGAGCTGGTGAAGAGCGACTCCGATCGGGGGACGAGGGCAGCGGACGCGAAGCAGGAAGGTCGTCCTCGGAGTCGGAGTGGGAGAAGCTTCCGCCCGTTCCTTCAGGCTCGGTCTCGGACACGATCGCCCAGCGGGAGATGGAGAGCAAGAATCCCAGGGACGCCCTCCTCCAGACCTTGAAGAGTTACGAGCACATCCCCAACATGCGGGTTGGGGGCGGTCAAGACTCGGGCGGCGCCGACGGTGCTGCGCAAGGTCTACAGGGGGGGGGGGGGGGGGGGGCGCTCTGCTAAGATCGAGGTGCAGGAATGGCTGAAGAGCAAAGAGCTCACCAAGGCCCCCATCGCCAACGAGATGTTGGTCCTCGCCATGACGCTGGACCGCACGATGGCTTCTGGTGATTTCAAGGGACTGATCAACCCCGAGGCCAGCGAGCTGAGCTGCCTCATGATGCACGCGATCATGAAGGCCTACGAGGGCGCCACGTGCGAGAACGATTGGAAGAGGCCTCGAAACGCGAGCGGGGCCAAGTGGAGGTCGAAGGTCGACTGGTCGCTCGGCGAAGAGTACCTGGGGCTGATTTCGCAGGACACCATCGAGGACACCCTGGCCGACGACGAGGTGACGGACAGGCCGGGGAAGAGGGCGCAGACCCAGAAGCACCTGACGTCGGCGCGGGACGCGGCGCCCAAGGATGACGAATAGGAGCGGCCCGAGGGTGCGCTTCGGAGTGGCGCCCCTTGGGCAAGTCTTGCACTGCTGCGCTCACTCCTGCGAATCCGCGCCGCGTCGGGGTCGTCAGCGGGGAGATCGCCAGGCCGAGGGTGGAGCGGGAGAGTTAAGGCCCTCGGGCTCGCCGCGCTGAGCCTTGCTAGCCGAGTTGACGCTGGGCTGCGGGGCGATTCGAGTTCAGCCCGTGTCTTGTGTATCGCGGATCTGAGCAGCACCACTGCGCCCAATCTACGTCGCGCCCCAGGTGAGTGGGCGCTTCCTTTGCGCCCCCCAGATGACGATGGACTTCCGAGAGAGGGGCCCACTTCGGAACCTGCCTTCACCGACGGGGCCGCTGGCGACGAGGGGCTCGAGCTCGAGCTTCACGGCGGAGCAGCTGCGTTTGACTTGGCCGCGTACATGTCGGACGGTTCGGTCTCTCCGTGCTCTCGCTGCTGGGCTGGCTGGCGCAGCCGATGGGGCGGCCGCGCCGAGCTCGCGGTCGGATGCGACTGGGCTCCAACGCAGGGTGGCTTACAACATCTGGGATCGCCGCGCCGCCCATGGGGCGCGGGGGGGCATCAGCGACGGCAAGGCGGTACTTCGCCGCCCGCGGGGGCCTGACAGCCCGGGCCCTACGGCCGGCGGGGGGGCGCGGCAAGAAGCAGACTACATCATCTACTACGTTTATCAAGAAGGGCGACCTCTGCAGGATGGTGGCGGACCAGGTTTCGTCGCCGCCCCCAGGGGCCGCGGGCCTGCCTCTGGCGGGTCTCTCGGCGGCCGCGGCGCCCTACCCGGAGCGCTTCGAGAGCCGGATGCTGGAGGGTCCGAAGGAAGTGGGCTGGGAGAGGCACGAGAGCATCTAAAGCTATTCCGATCCAGGCTGGAAGGATCGACACACCAGGCTCACCGCGGCAAAGAGGATGATGCAATCAGGCATGGTCAAGTACGTCAAGGAGGTGAAGAACACCGTGGGGCTTCTTTTTTTTTGCGCGGCACAGGACGTGAGCGAGAGTGGGCGGGACGTGGTCAAGTCTCGCCTCATCTGGGGTGCTCGGAAGGTGAATATGTTATTTCGGCGGCCACCGTGGACACCACTGGGGTCGCCGCCCGCCTTGTCCGAGCTGGAGTTACGGGCGACATCTCGACGGACCGTGTGCTGGGGAGCTTCCAAGGGGACGCGCCCGACTGGTTCTACAAGTTGAGGTGGACGGACGGACTGGCAGAGCATTTCGCGCTCGAGGGGGTTACGCCCGAGGAGCTATACACCTTTGCGAAGGAAGCTGGCGTGGACCTCCCCGCCCCGCCCGCGGGGGCCGCGGGGGCGGGGTCTGTCGCACCGGTGACGGGCGCTGCCTGGGCTTTCTTTCTGGCTCACCTTGCCCTCGTCGACTGCTTCGACTCCATGGAGGGGCTGTCCACGGAGCAGGTCACTCCGGGCAAGGTGTGTCCGAGTTTTGTCGGGGCCGAGCTTCTGCCGCTGCTGTACATCGACGACTACATAAGCCTGGAGCTCGTGAACAATGGGGAGGATGCCGAGCTCGAAGTGACCAAAGGCCACGTTCGGAGTTACTTGAATGCGAAGGGCCTCGCAGCGCACAAAGAGGAGGCAGGGGGTGAACTTCGGCGAGGGCTAGGACTTACTATATCGGGACGCCCCTACACGTCGAAGATCTACCCGGAGAAGATGAAGGACCTGATCATCTGCACCGAGGCGATCGTGGTGACTCAGTCCGTGCGACCGCGGGAGCTGGCCACGGTGGCGGGCTGCTGGGCGTGGGCGATGTTGGTCTGCAGGCCTGCTTCTGCGATCCTGGACGCCTGCTACCGATGGGTCGGCAGCTTCGCGGACGAGGACGCCGAGAAGCTGCAGCGTCTTCCCGTCGCCGTGTTGGACGTGCTGAAGGCTCTGGGGTCGCTGGCAAATTTCTTCGAGGCGAACCTGCAGTTGGACTTGCACACGACAGTCTACATGACCGATGCGAGTGACGAGGGCTTCGGCGCGGCGGCGACAACGTCGAGCGTGGAGGAGATCAGGGACGAGCTGGGGCTGAGCAGGTGCGGCAGATTCGCGTCGGGGAGACGCACATGGAGATAGAGGAGGAGGCGAGCAAGACGGGTCTGGGGGAGGACGAGGTGATGCACCCGCGCGAAGGTCGGCCTGGCATACTGGCGCTGCAGCAGGGCTTGCTGGACCTGAAAGGAGAACTGGGGCACCAGGTGGGAGCTCGGATAGAGGGCTTGCGGATGGAGGAGCTACTGGACGTGATGATGGTGGAGCGCCTCCTCAGCCGTCTGAGGAGGCGTTGGTATTTGATCTGCCACCTCATCATGTTCTTGGACACCTTCTCGGACGACTACTATCGGAACGCGCGCGCGCCCCGGGGCTACGAAGGGGGTCAGCGGCGGGATGCAGCGCAAGATCGACCAGGATAATTTCATCGCGCAGGTGCTCGTCGAGATCGCCGGGCTCGCCGTCCGCGAGGGGCTGGGCTCCGTCATCATGGGGCCCGTCGCGCTGAACGTGCTGGAGTGGCCCCCCTGGGACAGGCTCGCCGCCTCGGATGGCGACTTCTCGCTGGAGGTGGGGGAGGTGCTGGTGCTGACCAACATGGCGACACTCGTGGAGAACGATGGGCTGTGGGACGACTTCGCGCTGGTCTCGGGCGTCGCCGCCAACTACGGGGGCGACTTCGTGGGCCGCTACGCCGCGAAGCTCGAGCAGCTCGACGACGCCTGGGGCGAGGTACCGAGGGGAGCGCAGGTGCGGCTTCAACGAGGACGACCTCGGGTGGTACGGAGCAGGGGCCAGGTGACGCCGATCGGCGCCTCCTGGGTCAACGAGTCGAGGTGGCACGAGCTCTTCAGAGGACGCTGGGAGGCGGAGGAGCACAACAACGCGCTGGAGCTGAGGTACGTGATCACCGCGCTTCGGCATTTGGCGAGATCCTCGAGATGCTGGAACAAGCGTGTCCTGATAATGGCGGACTCGGTGGTCTCCATGGGCGTTCTGCAAGAGGGTCGCGCATCGGCGACGGCCCTCCTGAGACTGACGCGGGTGGCCTGTGGCATCTCGCTGGCGCTGGGCATCAGGGGCTACTACCGGTGGGCCCCCAGTCAGTGGAACATGGCGGACGGCCCAGTAGGGGGTCGACATCGGGGCGGCGGACGAGACCAAGGAGGCCCATAGGATGAGGACGACGCCGAAGGCGGTGCGACCGCTCCTGAAGGTGCCGGAACGGCGGCGGTCATCTACGGGGCCTTGGCTTCGCGCCTGCAGCTCGACTACCTTCTCAGCAGGGAGGCTCGCGCCTCCCAAGCGAGAACGTGGCGGCTGCGGGCGTCTATCTCGGCGACGTGGACCACTACTGCTACCTCATCGGGAGCTACTTCGACTACGAGAAGCAACTGCAGGTTGTCCTGCTGGGTCGCACTGGTGACGGCGCTCCACGTGGCACATGGGGCGCGGCGCGGTGGGTCCGCCCCCCCGCTGCAGAAGCGCGGGGCGCGTGCCTGGCAGCAGGCCAGGCTGGGCCGCCCGCGCTGGAACAACCGCCTGGTGGCCCACGCAGTGGACGACTCGACCAACGTCGTCTACGAGCGGGAGGTCAGGGCCTTCCTCGTCGACTGCAAGCGCGGGGAGGTCCCCTTCATGACGCTGGAGCAGATGGACCGCGCCCTCGGCAACTACATCAGCGACCTCTGCTACTCGCGGGGCGACAGCTACATGAAGGCCTCGCTCGCCTTCAACGGGTTCATGCACATCTTCGAGGACCATCGAGGGAAGCTCCCCACGGCGCATCGGGCGCTGAAGTCGTGGGAGCGCATGCAGTTCGGGGGCGAGGGGCGCCCGATCCCGTTCCAAGCGATGGGCGCGATCATCACGAGGATGCTGGAGACGGGCCGCCTGCTGGAGGGCCGCGCCTGCATCGCCCAGCTGGACGGGCGGCTGCGGGAGCAGGACTAGGAGATGCTGCAGGCCAAGCATGTCAGCTTCACCCCCGACGGCGGCGTGGGGCTCAAGCTGGGCGACCGCATTATGGACCAGAAGACCAAGACGGGCACCAACCAGGGAGCGGCACTGGAGCGGCCGATCACGAGGCTCTTGCTGAAGGTCCTGATCCAGGACCGCGAGCCCGATGACCAGGCCTTCCTTTTCACCCAGCCGAGCTTCCGCAAGGTCTGGATGAAGACGCTGAAGGACGTCGTCCTCGAGAAGATGGGGCCCCCGCATGGGATGCGGCACGCCGCGGCGGCGCGCTTCGTAGCGCTGGGCGGCGACCTGGAGGCGGCGCGGCGCCGAGGGCGCTGGGCCTCCACCGCCGGCCTCCAGCGGTGCGCCAAGTGCCACGCGCTGGTGGAGAAGCTCAGCGAGCTCGACGGCGAGCAGATCAAGCAGGGCTGCGCCTTCTGGCGCCGACCGCGGCAGGCCGTGCACGATGCCCTCGCGCGGGGCCCAGGCGCGGGCACGCCGCTCGGCGAGCGCCTCATCAAGGCGCTGGTGCGCGGCCGTGAGCGTGAGACGGCCGTGCGCATGTTCGGCTCTGCCTAGTGCCTGTCCTTCCCTTACTCCTGCATCTATGAAGAGAGCCACTCTGGAAAAGGGGGGGGGTCCTTGGGGGGAGGCCGTGGTTTTACCAAGCTTTTCCTGCCTCGCTTCCCTCCCGCCCGTCGTTGCCCGTGCTCGGCAGGATTTTGCCAAGGCCTCTGGCCAGTGGCCGAGCGGGGTCGGCTGGGAGGGGTCGAAAATGTTTTTTGTCCTCAGACTCTGGCTGCACGCTCAGGTAGCTAGCTAGGGTCAAGCTCGCTCAGGGAGCTAGCACAAGGATGCTGGCGCTTTCTCCTGCACATCTGGGGTTGAGGAGCCCCTTCCACTCGGCGCGGTGGTGAAAAAGCGGCACGTGTTTGTAGTATTTGCTAGCCCTCTCGGGCTCAGCTCCGCCTGCCCCCCTCCAGGGTGTTCAACCCCTCCCCAGACTGGTTCTGAGTAGAAGGTAAGCTTGTAAATTAATGCTCTTGACTTTTATTGTACATTACCCATCGTAGTCTGTTAGCCGCCTTTCCCCTCTGTCCCCTCTTGGGCTCAAGTCGGCCCCACCGCTCCCTCCCTTTGGAGAGGGATCGAAAATGCGTTTTGTCCTCGGACTCTGGCTGTACGCTCAGGTAGTTAGCTAGGGTCAAGCTCGCCCAGGGAGCTAGCACAAGGATGCTGGCGTTTTCTCGAACACATCTGGGGTTGAGGAGCCCCTTCCATTCGGCGCGGTGGTGAGAAAGCGGCACGTGTTTGTAGTATCTGCTAGCCCTCTCGGGTTCAGCTTCGCCTGCCCCCCTCAAGGGTTTTCAACCCCTCCCCAGACTGGCTCTGAGTAAAAGGTAAGCTTGTAAACGAGCATTTCGAGCGGCATGGGGAAACAGTGGAAAAGCGCAGGAACACCCTTGCCGCTTCAAGTTCCCATCGCTGTCTGGCATGGATATGTTTCCCGCGCTTTGGGGACCCGTGGAGGTGGCTTGCGTGTTTCAATTTAGCCTTGGGCCTTTTGATAGCTCTCCTCCTCCTCCTCCTCCTCCTCCTCCTCCTCCTCCTCCTCCTCCTCCTCCTCCTCCTCCTGCTCATCATCAGCAGCAGCAGCAGCAGCAGCAGCATCATCATCATCATCATCATCATCATCATCATCATCATCATCATCATCATCATCATCATCATCATCATCCCACTCGTCCCCTGCATCTCCCTCCTCCTCCTCCTCCTGACAGCTGGCAACTGGTGGCATCGGAGTTCGAGTTCAGCGCTTCCATCCTCTCCTCTTCCTCCTCCTCCTCCTCCTCCCTCCTCCTCCTCCTCCTCCTCCTCCTCCTCCTCCTCCTCCTCCTCCTCCGCCTCCTCCGTCCGTAGCCATTCTGGCTCAAGCCTGGCGCCCTTTTTGGGGCACCGTCGCGGGTCCCCCCCCCGTCTCCCCAGATCCCCGACGCCATGACTTGCTCACAACGTGGACCCCCCGAGGTCTGGACCCATTCCCTGGGATCATTTGGAGTCGTGTTTTGACGGTCCTGGGGCCTGGCGAGGGCCACCAGAAGCAGAAAACGGCAAATAGTGCTTCACCGAAAACGCACAACATAACATATTGCAACAAACAAGAAAAACGAAAGCGTCGTGATTTGTGTCATGACCCGAGGGGGTCTGGGCCCCGCCAGGGCCGCTGCCGGCGCCTCCCCTCCTCGCCAATGGCGCCCTCCCTGGAGCAGCTGGACGCCTACCTGGCCACCAGCTCGTACCTCGGCTCTCCCACGGGCGCGACGCTGGTGGACTACAAGCATCGGGCAGCAAGCAGTGACACCTCAACACAGAGACTCGGAGGTCCGCGCGGAGTTCTTCGATCGGTGCTGGACCCCCCTGGAGGCGCCTCCGGCGCCGCCCCTGGCGCGCTCCACGCGCCAAGGAGGGGGGTCCAACGCCGACCCAGGAACTCCGCGCGGCCCTCCGAAAGGTTTCATGTTTATGTCATGTATGTCATTGCGTGCTCCCCTAAGGCAGTGCCTGGAGATCGGCGGCGAGCCCAAGGGGGAAGTGAGGGGGCAGGCCTTCCCTGATGGCGGCTTGGCTTCTCAGCAGGCCAGAGGACTTCTGAGGAGCAGCCTCTGTCCCCAGAGCAGGCTCAGAAAGCTTCTCAGAAGTCCACCGACCTTCGGAGAAGCCCCGCCGCCTCCTGAGAAGCCCCCCCCCCTCGCCTCCCCCCCTGTGCTCGACGCCGAGGAGATCAAGTCCGCGCCCGACGCCAAGAAGCTGCCGCACGTCGCGAGGTGGTACGCGCACGTCTCGCACCTGGCGGCGGCGTACCCGAAGTGCGACTGGCGCGGCGACGCGGTGCCGGCCGGCAAGGCTCCCGAGCTCGGCGGGGGCGGCCAGGCCCCAGCGCCGAAGGAGGCCGCCCCCAAGAAGGAGGCCGCCCCCAAGAAGGAGGCCGCCCCCAAGAAGGAGGCCGCCCCCAAGAAGGAGGCCGCCCCCAAGAAGGAGGCCAAGGATCGAAGGGGAGCAGAAGGAGTGCATGAGCGTAAACTTTCGGAGGGCCGCGCGGAGTGCTTGGATCGGCGTTGGACCCCCCACTCCTTGGCGCGCGGAGCGAGCCAGGGGCGGCGCCAGAGGCGCCACCACGGGGGGTCCATCACCGATCGAAGAAATCCGCGCGGACCTGCGAAGTGTTATGTTTAGCGGTTGTTTCTTCCTCCTCTAAAGGAGGATAAGAAGGCCAAAAAGGGCGACGAGGAGCCCAAGGAGCTGACGCCAGAGGAGCTGGCAGCCGAGAAGGCCAAGAAGCTGAAGAAGGTGAAGAAGGAGGGCGGCAAGCGCGGCGTGGAGATCGAGGGCGCGGCGGACATGGGCGGGCTGCAGTTCTTCTGCACCTCCGTGGACGAGCCGGAGGGCGACATCGAGCTGTGCCTGAAGTGCATGGAGGCCATGAACGAAAAGAGCGATCCCACCGAGGAGGAGCGCAAGGGCGGCTCTGGCCACATCGGCAAGACGATCTTCTCGGCGGGTACGGGGCAGCTGGCCGTGGTGGCGTACGTGCCTCCAGAGAAGCAGGCGGAGTGCTGCTGCGAGGACTGGCTGAAGGCCACACTGAGTGTCTTCCAGGGGGAGGTGGTGTCCGTGGCCAAGGACATCTGCGCGGGCTTCGTCAAGGCCGACGCAGACAAGAACATCTTCCCGCTGAAGATCCGGGAGCCGATGATCCTGGAGGCGATCGAAGAAGAAAAATTGCAGAATCCTAAATTTTCGGATGCCCGCGCGGAGTTCTCGGATCGGCGCTGGACTCCCCCTCCCTGGCGCGCGGAGCCCGCTAGGGGCGGCGCCGAAGCGCCGCCAGGGGGGTCCAGCGCCGATCCAAGGGAGATCCCAACGGAGCTCCGAAAGGTTAGGGTTATGCAGTTTGTCCCTCGCCGAGGCGAACAACTTCCTGCGGAAGAAGGGGCTCTTCCCAGAGGACAACGGCGACGACTCCGACGAGATGGTGTTCGGCGACGACGACTTCCCCTCCATGTGAGCCCGCCGGGAAGGAAGCGTCGCACTCACGGCGCGGGCCCGCCCCTACGCTGCTCCTTAAGCGCTCGGCGTAGTGCGCGCCGGACCGGAGTGCGGGCCTGTCTTTTCTAGAGACTTATACCCCCAGTTTTGACTTGAGGTGGGCTGGCGGAATTGTTCCGCGACGAAGAACGAGGCCGAGGTGGGCTTGCGGAAGTGAATTGTGAGGGCGTCTCGAGCGAGACGCGGGTTGTTGAATCTCCGTTTGATCAAAAACGATGTAATTAAGATTTTTCGTTGATTGCGGATGTCTCGAGCGAAACGCTCGTTTTGCAGAATTTGTTGAGGACGTCTTGAGCGAAACAAGGTTTCCAGGAACCTTGACGCCCAAGGATGCCCCAGGGGGCCCTGGGAGTGCGAACGCAGAGCAGTTTACAAGGAATCGTGACCTTGGGAGCGCGAAACCTGCGTAATTTACAATGGATCTCGGCCCTGTGAGCGCGAATCTTGTGTAATTTACGGGGTTTTGCGGCTCTGAAAGCGTGAATCCCGCGTGATTTACTATGGATTTTCACCCTGGGAGCGCGAATCCAACGTCGTTCACGACGGATCTTGGCACTGGGAGCGCGAAACCCGCGTAATTCCCAAGGGCTCGTGGCCCTGGGAGCGTGCATCCGTTGTAATTTACAGAGGATCTTGGCCTTGGGAGCTCGAATCCAGCATAATTTACAGGGGGTCTTGGCATTGGGAGCGCGAACCCAGCGTAATGTACAAGGGCTCGCGGCCCTGGGACCTTGCATCCAGCGTAAATTACGAGGGACCTTGGCCCTGGGAGCGCGCATCCCGCGTACTTTGCGAGGGATCGCGGCCCTCCAGCGTAATTTACGAGGGGCTGTGGCCTTGAGAGCGGCGTCAATTACGACGGATCGCGGCCTCCGGCAATTTACGAGGATTCGCGGCTTCGGGTCCAGCGCCTAATTTTGAGGAAACGGCGGGGGGGCTAAGTACACCAAGTACCTCGGGATCCCCCTGGGCCCCGGAGGGAGAGACGCTGCTTAGAACGAGGTGGGCATGAAGCGGTTGAACCTCGGCCTGACTCGCACGATTGCTCGGCGCAACACATTCTGTTGCAGCGCCATGGGCCACGAAGCGCAGTTTCATTCCCCGACGCCCGAGGCCCTTCGGATGGCGCGCGAAGCCTTGCATGCCCTGGTTGTCGCCCCTCGGAACGCTCTCTCCCGCGACCTCCTGAAGGCGCTCAAGGAAATCGGTCTCCCCGCGCAGGCAGGACAGTTGTCATGTTCGAGTCAGGCTGCCCAGTATAGGCGTGCATTATACAGTGAGTCCTGTCGCGAGTTGACCGCGTACCTCGACGAAGCCGGGGCCAGCGACGACGACGCCCAGATGGAACACCCGTGCCTTCCTTGGTCAAAGGAGTCTTGTCTCATCCAGATGCGTCTTACTTATCAAGCCCTGCGTGCCCTTCCCAACCTCCCCAACCAAAGCCACCCCTAGAATCTCGACTCACATTGAAATCAAGAATATGCTTAAGTATTATCATCCCGCCATCTCCGATTCCCCAAGCGGATATGGTTGCGATGCTGTTCAGGCGTTTGCGTGCCCTGGCTCCAAGTTGTTTGTTTTTACCGGTCATCAAAGGGATCCCGAACAGTGCGCGTCTAGGAGATTTCGAGAACCCACTAAGAGTTGCCGTTGATGTCAGTTCGCCATAGCGGGAGATGATATTATCCATGTTTTGTTATCCTTGCCTCGACTTGCTTTTGGCTCGCTTTCCTCTCCTGCCTTCTTCGTTCGCCTCCTCCTCGGCTGTCGCTCGCCTCGGGCTCTTCGGTCTCGGTCCTCTCTGCAACGCCCGGCTGATTTCCATCGCCGGCCTGTACGATGCCAGGTGCTGCGCGTGCCACGCAGCCAAAGGCCTCGACAGTAGTGGCCCCGTGTCTTTCGCGGGCCTGGCCCGGGCGCGCATCGGGCAAACGGCGAGGCGCTCCCCCGCGGCAGGTCAGGCGCTGCGTGGCTGACGGACTCCATTGCTGGGGTTGCCCCGAGGATGGCCCCGTTGGCACTGTCCCTTCGTCGCCCTAAGCATGCGAGCCTCCTGGCATTGCGGATTTAAGAATATGATGTCCCATTTCTTCTTTATTTATATATATATATATATGTATATATATATATATACACCTATATATCTTTCACCAGCCTCTGTTCGGCCGCGCCGGCGCAGGCCCCACCTGCGACGCCCTCGGCCGCACTCTTTGCTGCATGATCTGACGCACCAGCTCTGGACGGGAGTGGCCCCGTGTCTTTTGTGCGCCTGGCCCAGGCGCACATCTGGCAAACGGCCAGGCGTTCCCCCGCGGCCGGTCCGGTGCTACGTGGCTTACGAATCCATCCTCGAGGCAGCTGCGCTCCTCCTCCTCCTCCTCCCTCCTCCTCCTCCTCCTCCTCCTCATCCTCCTCCTCCTCCTCCTCCTCCTCCTCCTCCTCCTCCTCCTCCCTCCTCCTCCTCCTCCTCCTGCCTCCTCCCTGCTCCCCACCCTCCTCCTCCTCCTCCTCCTCCTCCTCCCTCCTCCCTCCTCCTCTCCTCCTCCTCTCCTCCTCATCCTCCTCCTTCCCTCCTCCTCCTCTCCTCTCCTCCTCCTCCTCCTCCTCCCCTCCTCCTCCTCCTCCTCCCTCCTCCTCCTCCTCCTCCTCCTTCCTCCTCCTCCTCCTCCTCCTCCTCCTCCTCCTCCCCTCCTCCTCCTCTCCTCCTCCCCTCCTCCTCCTCATCCTCTCCTCCTCCTCCTCCTCCTCCTCCTCCTCCTCCTCCTCCTCCTCCTCCTCCTCCTCCCTCCTCCTCTCTTCCTCCTCCTCCTCCTCCCCCCCCCTCCTCCTGACAGCTGACAGCTGGTGGCATCGGAGTTCGAGTTAAACGCTGCCATCCCCGCCCCCTTCCGCCTCCTCCGTCCGTGGCCATTCTGGCTCAAGCCTGGCGTTTTTGGGGGGCACGGTCGCGGGCCCCCCCCCTCTCCCAGATCCCCGACGCCATGACTCGTTCACAACGTGGACCCCCCGAAGTCTGGACCCATTTCGTGGGGCCACCTGTTCATTCTGAGTCGCGTTGCGACGGTCCCGGAGCCCGGCGAGGGCCCCCAGGAGCAGAAAATAGCGAACAGAGCTTTGCCAAAACAACGCGCAACAAAACACACTACAACAAACAAAAGAACAAACGAAAACGTCGTGATCTGTGTCATGACCAGAGGGAGTCTGGGCCCCGTTCCCCTCGGGCTCACAGGGCCGCTGCCGGCGCCTCCCCTCCTCGCCAATGGCGCCCTCCCTGGAGCAGCTGGACGCCTACCTGGCCACCAGCTCGTACCTCGGCTCTCCCACGGGCGCGACGCTGGTGGACTACAAGCATCGGGCAGCAAGCAGTGACACCTCAACACAGAGACTCGGAGGTCCGCGCGGAGTTCTTCGATCGGTGCTGGACCCCCCTGGAGGCGCCTCCGGCGCCGCCCCTGGCGCGCTCCACGCGCCAAGGAGGGGGGTCCAACGCCGACCCAGGAACTCCGCGCGGCCCTCCGAAAGGTTTCATGTTTATGTCATGTATGTCATTGCGTGCTCCCCTAAGGCAGTGCCTGGAGATCGGCGGCGAGCCCAAGGGGGAAGTGAGGGGGCAGGCCTTCCCTGATGGCGGCTTGGCTTCTCAGCAGGCCAGAGGACTTCTGAGGAGCAGCCTCTGTCCCCAGAGCAGGCTCAGAAAGCTTCTCAGAAGTCCACCGACCTTCGGAGAAGCCCCGCCGCCTCCTGAGAAGCCCCCCCCCCTCGCCTCCCCCCCTGTGCTCGACGCCGAGGAGATCAAGTCCGCGCCCGACGCCAAGAAGCTGCCGCACGTCGCGAGGTGGTACGCGCACGTCTCGCACCTGGCGGCGGCGTACCCGAAGTGCGACTGGCGCGGCGACGCGGTGCCGGCCGGCAAGGCTCCCGAGCTCGGCGGGGGCAGCCAGGCCCCAGCGCCGAAGGAGGCCGCCCCCAAGAAGGAGGCCGCCCCCAAGAAGGAGGCCGCCCCCAAGAAGGAGGCCGCCCCCAAGAAGGAGGCCAAGGATCGAAGGGGAGCAGAAGGAGTGCATGAGCGTAAACTTTCGGAGGGCCGCGCGGAGTGCTTGGATCGGCGTTGGACCCCCCACTCCTTGGCGCGCGGAGCGAGCCAGGGGCGGCGCCAGAGGCGCCACCACGGGGGGTCCATCACCGATCGAAGAAATCCGCGCGGACCTGCGAAGTGTTATGTTTAGCGGTTGTTTCTTCCTCCTCTAAAGGAGGATAAGAAGGCCAAAAAGGGCGACGAGGAGCCCAAGGAGCTGACGCCAGAGGAGCTGGCAGCCGAGAAGGCCAAGAAGCTGAAGAAGGTGAAGAAGGAGGGCGGCAAGCGCGGCGTGGAGATCGAGGGCGCGGCGGACATGGGCGGGCTGCAGTTCTTCTGCACCTCCGTGGACGAGCCGGAGGGCGACATCGAGCTGTGCCTGAAGTGCATGGAGGCCATGAACGAAAAGAGCGATCCCACCGAGGAGGAGCGCAAGGGCGGCTCTGGCCACATCGGCAAGACGATCTTCTCGGCGGGTACGGGGCAGCTGGCCGTGGTGGCGTACGTGCCTCCAGAGAAGCAGGCGGAGTGCTGCTGCGAGGACTGGCTGAAGGCCACACTGAGTGTCTTCCAGGGGGAGGTGGTGTCCGTGGCCAAGGACATCTGCGCGGGCTTCGTCAAGGCCGACGCAGACAAGAACATCTTCCCGCTGAAGATTCGGGAGCCGATGATCCTGGAGGCGATCGAAGAAGAAAAATTGCAGAATCCTAAATTTTCGGATGTCCGCGCGGAGTTCTCGGATCGGCGCTGGACTCCCCCTCCCTGGCGCGCGGAGCCCGCTAGGGGCGGCGCCGAAGGCGCCGCCAGGGGGGTCCAGCGCCGATCCAAGGGAGATCCCAACGGAGCTCCGAAAGGTTAGGGTTATGCAGTTTGTCCCTCGCCGAGGCGAACAACTTCCTGCGGAAGAAGGGGCTCTTCCCAGAGGACAACGGCGACGACTCCGACGAGATGGTGTTCGGCGACGACGACTTCCCCTCCATGTGAGCCCGCCGGGAAGGAAGCGTCGCACTCACGGCGCGGGCCCGCCCCCCCCCCCCTCCCGGGCTGCTCCTTAAGCGCTCGGCGTCGTGCGCGCCGGGCCGGAGTGCGGGCCTGTCTTTTCCTGCGAGGGAGATGTCGCGTCGGCAACTGGTGGGTGAGGAGGAAACTTCAGATAGGCGAGAGGAGGTGTGGGGAGCAGGAGGGCGAGAGTCTGGGCAGCAGGAGCAGGAGGAGGCCGAGGAAGAGGGCGAGGGGGAGGACGAGGGCGAAGACGAAGACGAGGGGAAAGAGGGAGGATGGTGGAGGGATAATGTTGGAGAGAGGAGAAGGAGAAGGAGAAGGAGAAGGAGAAGGAGAAGGAGAAGGAGGAAGAGGAGGAGGAGGAAGAAGAAGAAGAAGAGGAGGAGGAGAAGGAGGAGGAGGAGGACGACGAGGAGGAGGGCTCCCCCCGCCGGGCGAGGGTGTGCTCCACCGCGACGTGAAGCCGGCCAACATCCTGCTCGCGCGCAGCTCGCACCGCATCAAGCTGGGAGACTTTGGCGTCTCGAGGAGTGCGCGCTGGCTCGGCCTGGCCTCGGCCGAGGAGGAGGAGGAGGAGGAGGAGGAGGAGCAGGAGGAGGAGGAGGAGGAGCAGGAGGAGGACAGCCCCAGACATGCTCGAGTCGCGAACAAGATCGCGACGGGCGGTTTTGGGCAATTTTCGGCCTCTGGGGGTCCTTGCCGGGCCCTGAGAAAGAGATTCGCTACCAAAAAAAAACAGCCTTGGGGAAAGAGTCGGGACTGCCGGGGCCATGTATTGAAGAGTCAAGACGTTGGATATCTGGGCTCAGGGCGTGGTTTTTGAATTCAAGAAACAGTTTTTGAATTCAACAAACAGTTTTTGAATTCAAAAAGCAGTCATGCTTTTAAAAAACAGTCAGGCGACGAATTTCGAATTCAAAAAACCGTCAGGCGGACCCAGGACCAGGATGGATCGCTCCAGGACGTTCTGGGAGGCTCTCGGGGGGGTCCGGCGCGCTCTGGAGCGGCCGGGGCGCTTGACTTGCCCTCCAGAACTGCTCGATCTGAGAGCTCCCCAGTATGTTCCCGTCGGTTTTGTCCGGGCCCCGGCTCCGTCTGCCGTAAGCAGGAGCAGGAGGAGGAGGAAGAGGAGGAGGAGGAGGAGGAGGAGGAGGAGGAGGAGGAGGAGGAGAAGAGGAGGAGGAGGAGGAGGAGGAGGAGGAGGAGGAGGAGAGGGAGAAGGAGGGGGAGGGGGAGGAGGAGGAGGGCGACTTCGGCGTCTGAAGGACATCATGGTAATCCCCCTCCCCAGTGGGCAAGGGTTCCTCAGCGCCACCAGCCTGGATGGGCGCCGCGAAGCCCGGCGGGGCGGGCACTGGTCCCCGCCACCAGGGCTTTCCCAGTGGGCATGGCCGGCCACGCGCGGAGAGCGGTAGGGGAAGGGGGGAAGGCTTCTCAGGAGCTCCCCTGCTTGTCTCGGGCCGGACGAAAGGGGGGGATTGGGAAAGGGGGGGTTACGAAATTTGCTGCATGCAGCTGGTTTCGGCCCCACCGAGGGGCCCATTCCTCGATACATAGCCGCCTCTGGCGCCGGGAGGCGCCGGGAAAATCAGCTACGCGAGCTGATTCTCAAACCCCCCCTTTGCTATCCCCCCCTTTCGCCCGACCCGATGCTTGTCGCTCCCACAAAACCGACCAACCCTGTCTTACATTTCCATATCAAAAATTGTTACAGGCGCAGTGGCAAGTCTTGGCTTTAACCCCACGAGTTCAGAATTTTTATTGAACAGACAAAGCAGATGTCCCTAGAACTAGTTGTACTATGTGTGAGTGCGACATAGATGAAGGTCGTGGAAGGCGCGGGCCTTCTAAGCAGCAGGGGTGCTTCTGAGAACTTCTGCTCCTGCTTCGGCGCGCACCGCCCGGCGAGCGCTGGCTGACCGAGAAGTTGGGCTGGCAAAGCCGCGCGGCCGCCCTGGCCGAGGCGCCGCCCAGGGAGCGCGCCCTCCGGCATCTCCAACGACGGCTGAATCGTTCGTTGGCCCGCAGTGACCCTGCCTGGGCGTAGGCTCGCTCGTGCCTTGGCCCGAATGCAGCTTCTGGTCGGGTGCTGTGCGCCGCGTGTCCAGGCCGCCTCCTTGAGATTGGTGTGCGATGAGTGGCGCACGCGCTGCCAGTTTCAAGGAGGTGGAGCGTGTCTGTTCGGGTGCGACGGGCACGAGGACAGCGTGGCACATTTCGCGCGCTGTCCAGCAGTGCGCCGCCCGTTTCAAACGCGTGCCTGTCTCGCCGGAACGACGTCTGCTGACGCTCTGGACCTCTTCCTCGGGCTCACAGGGTCGGAGGAGGAGGCGCGGCAGCGCGCGTTGACCACGCACGCTTTGCACAGGGCCCACAATGCGCGTCGAACGGGATCTTTGGCTTTGGCCAAAGTAGACGGAGCCTTTCGCATGTCCCTCCAGGAGGAGGCAGCACGAAATGTAGTTATGACGGTCGTTCTTTGTTGAATGTGTTTCTCTATTGCGCCCCTGCGTTGGCGCGGGGGGTTCGTGGTACTGCATGGCCCCACCAGATTCAGGGCAACTAGAAGGGTTGCATCTTCTCGCTCCTCCCTCCTCCTCCCTCCTCTGGCCGTTTTCTCTAGTCCGCCCCGCCCCCGTGAGGGGTCCGAGCCCCAGGCCCTGACCCTCCAAAAATGAGACACCGAGCCCCCCACCCCCCCGGTGTACCGGGGCCCCCCCAGTATACCTGGGGGGGGGGCTCGGTGTCCCATTTTCGGTGTTTTTTCGGTGGTCTCTGGGGTTTCGGCTGATGCGGTTTTCGGATTCCGTTTCGCCTCCAGGGGCGGAAATTCGGGCGGTTAGTCTTGGTGCACGCATCAATCGGCCACGCGGCCGGGACACGATCGCCCTTGTTTCTACTCCTCCTCGGCTCTGCTCCTCTCTTGTGGTGCGGATCTCGCTCTCCGTGTATCAATTGGCGTTCGCGCTGGTGCACGCAGAGGTGGCTAGTGCAGGGCCCCCCGGTCTCGCCGACCGCTCCTTGACCAGGGAGTCGCCAGAGAGCCCGCACTGTCCTCTTTTGCCGGCCGCCTGCGAACATGGCTCGGCCATCTTTTCACCCTGACTGTCTTCAGCATGCTGCGTCCTTCCCGGCCGAGGGCGGACGCATTGCAGTCTGAGCGCAATGTGTATTTCTGCTTCCCTTGTGCCGGACTGGGGTAAGTCGGGTATTCAGCCTAACATTTGCCTGCCTGTGTGTTCGTCCCCCTCCTCCCCCTCCTCCTCGTCCCCCTCCTTTTCCTCCTGTGGCGGTTTCTGCACATTGGTACTCCTGTGAACCGATTCCGTGCTACACGCATGTGTGTCGCTTCCGCATTCCAGCGTGTTTTTGGGGCCTGGCAGGTTGCGTGAGTTTGCGTACGCTCGGCTGCCAGCAGGCTGATCCTCGAGACATCGTTTGGCTGGTGCTTCGCATGTTCCCTGTCCTTCCCTCGCCCTCACTCTCCCAAAATATTGCGCTGGACAGAAACTTGGAAGGCGCGGGCCTTCTCTGTAGATGTAAAGCCAGCGCATTCTGAGAAGCAGGGTGTTTCTAAGAAATGTTTTTCCCTTCCCCTACCCGGATACGCGCGCCGCCAAGATGGGGTCGGTCGAAGAAGAGAAACGCCATGCACATCAATTTTCGGACGTCCGCGCGGATTTATTGGCCCAGCGGTGGACAGACACCCCTCCTTGTCGCGCGGAGCACGCCAGGGGCGGCGCCGGAGGCGCTGGCAGGGGGTCCCAGCACCGACCCAAGGAATCCGCGCGGTCCTCCGAAAGTTTGCCTCCCACCCGACCAGTTGGGGCCGTTACATGTAAAGAAGAGCTCCCGACCCGCATCGCACACCTTGCACACGGTCGAGGCGCTGAAAGAAGGAACATCTCGGGTTCGGAAGGGGCTCGATGTGTCTTGGGTCATTCCGCGGTTGTTCCTCTAGCCTTCTTTGTGTACGCAGGCGCTTCTGGGACCAAAGAGGCGCTTCTTTCCTGATATAACATTCCTTACGGCGGAGGGGGGAGGGGGGAGGGGGAGGAGGAAGGAGGGGTGAGGGGGAGGGCAGGAGGAGGAGTGGGAGGAGGAGGAGGAGGAGGAGGAAGAGGAGGAGGAGGAGGACAGCTTGGCTTCACTGCGGCCGCTAGGCCCAAGGTGTGCCGACGCGCCCTGGGGATCCCACCTCGCGTTTTCGATGGATCCGCGCCTGGGCCCCCGGCGGTGCCTCCGGCGCCGCCCCTGGCGCGCTCCGCGCGCCAGGGAGGGTGGTCCAGCGCGAATCCAAGAAATCCGCGCGGAGGGCCACAAGTTTATGTTTATGTGTTTTTTCTTCTAATGCGATTGCTTCTGCCTATGGATGGGACATACGATGCGGGCTGCGGGAGATTTTTTGGTTGGGTTCAGTAACGGTCGTTACCTGGGCGGGGGAGGGAGCTTGGGCCCCAGGTAACAGCAATGCTTGGGCGGGATGCGGCATGTCGGGGCGGGGGTTCGCTGCGATCGCCATAGACTGCGCGCGAGAACCAGCATGTGGGGGGAGGTCCAGGCCTCCCCCCTCTACTTACGACCGGGCCCCTTGCCAGGGGGAGGGGCCGGGTGACGTCCGTTACGCGCCAGAAGATCAAATCAGTTTGGCGAAGAAACCCACCCTTTCTCAAAACGCGGGGTGTGCCGAAATGGGGCGGGTCACCATTCGGACGCAGCCACTGGGGCCGTCAGGGGAGCGCCATATGGGACCGCGAAACTTTTCAGGGGTGTGCCAGAATGGGGCAGAGCACCATGCGGGCCCAGCCTCTGGGGCCTTTGGTGCTGCTCCTTCTGGACCACGAGACGCGTAAGGGTACCGTAAGGGTGTAACGACATTGAGCGGCGGGTCACCATGGGGACACAGGCATTGGGGCATTCGGCGGAGCTTCCTACGTGGCCATGACATGTGCGAGGGTTGTGCCGAAATAGGGCGGGTCGCCATGTGGGCGCAGCCACTGGGGCCGTCAGTGGAGCGCCACCTGGGATCACGGAACTCTTGAGGGGTGTGCAAAGATGGGGCGGATCGCCATGCGGAAGCAGCCATCAGGGCCTTTGGTGGAGCTCCTTATAAGGCCACGAGATGCGTGAGGGGTGTGCCGAAATGGGGCGGCGGGTCACCACACGAACGTAGCCAATGGGGCCTTCAGTGGAGCTCCCTCCGCGTGAGGGGTGTGCCGACATGGGGCGGGTCACCATGCGGACGCAGCCAATGGGGCCTTCAGTGGAGCTCCCTGTGGAGCCACGACACGTGTGAGGGGTGTGCCGAAATAGGGTGAGGATGACGGTGGTGGTAACGATAACAGAGGTGATGGTGACGATGATGGTGATGACGACGATGTTGATGACGATTAGTACGTTTACGATGATGCTGATGACAAGGACAAGGGCAAAAAGGAGGAGGAGGAGGAGGGAGGATGAAGGAAGGAAGGAAGGAAGGAAGGAAGGGAGGAAGGAAGGAGGAGACGCACGGCGCTGCGCATTCAAAACGAGGACCCAACTCACAGGAGGGCTGGGACAAACCATCTCCAAGGGTCCTCGAGAGCTCGGGGTGGATTTATTGCGGGAGCTGTATTTTGGGAGTTGTGTGTTGATGGGGTGATAGTTGTTGGTGGGGGGTTCTGTTGAATGTGGTTATGAGTCCAGGGATTTTCAATTAAATGATTGCGGGATTGTGATCGGGGTAGCTAGCAAACCATCTCCGAGGGTCCTCGAGAGCTCGGGGTGCGCGCACTCCGTGGTCGGGACGCCGTACTACCTCTCCCCCGAGATCGTCAGCGGCAAGGCCTACGGCCCGCCCTCAGACGCCTGGGCGCTCGGCGTGTGCCTCTACGAGCTCGCGGCGCTGCGCCGGCCGTTCGAGGCCGCCAACCAGCTGGCGCTCGTGCGGCGCATCTGCGAGGAGCCGCCGCGCCCTCCGAGAAGCGCGGTTTTGGAATTCCAGAAAACGGCTTTCGAATTCCAAAGTAAAAACGAGTCTTGAATTCCCCGAAAACGGTTCTTGAATTCAAAAAACGGTTCTCGAATTCAAAGAACGTTTTTGAATCCAACAAAAAACGGTTTGGGAATTCAAAAAACCGGTTTTTGAATTCGACAACGGTTTGGGGGGAATTCAAAAAAAACAAGCCCTGGGAAGCTTCTGGGCCGACTGCGAAGTCACAGGCGGCCTC